TAAACAAGGAGGACCCTAGGGAAGGGGCTTAATCCTCATTCAGAAGGGCCATTAGGATAGACATCGGAAGTAGAAGACAAGGAATAGGACAGGAACCTTCCACAGGGAATTAATTAAAAACTAAACCTAGCAGGGTTTCAAAGCAGATGCTGAGAATCATAGCAAAATGTTGGGCAGTGTTCAGGGAATCTTATGGAAGAAGGGGAGACAGGAAGGTCTGGAGGGGACAGGAGCTCTATAAGGAGATCAACAGGGACAAAAAAAAAAAAAAAACGTGGCCCAGGGGGTCCTGCAGAGACTGATACTCCAAACAAGGACCATTCATGGATACAACCGAGAACCCCTGCTCATATGTAGCCCTTGGCAGCTCAATATCCAAGTGGGTTCCCTAGTAAGGGGCACAGGGACTGTCTCTAACATGAATTCAGTGGCTGGCTCTTTGACTGTCTCCTCTGGATGAGGGAGCAGCCTTGCCAGGCCACAGAGGAGGACAATACAGCCAGTCCTGATGAGAGCTGATAGGTTAGGGTCAGATGGAACGGGAGGAGGACCTCCTCTATCTGTGGACTTGGAAAGGGGCATAGGAGGAAATGAGAGAGGGAAGGTGGGACTGGGAAGGGAGGAGGGAGGGGGCTACAGCTGGGATACAAAGTGAATAAAGTGTAATTAATATTAAAATTAAAATAATAGTTTCACAATATTGTACATGTCCAAACTTCTGGCAATTTGAATACTTAACATGGAAAAGTCCAGTATTTGTATTCTATAGTTATAAAGAATATTGCCACTTCCTTGAAATACTATCTCAAATATATTATCTTACTTAAAATGACAAAATAAATCACCTCCTCCTTGAAATTTTATGTGAACCATCAAGTTGTCTGTAGTAATGATCCCAAGAGCTTATAATTTAAATCATTTCAGGATTTAAGATATAAGGTTATAATCAATGTTGAATAGCTGTAATGCTACATATCATGTGCCAGCATACATTTATAAGAGAAGTATATTCTTAGTTTCAAATGCTTCATTACCTCTTGCTCATGACCAAAATCCTGTTGAGCCAGTCCCGGGCCATTGTTTTGTGAGTCGGTTCCTTCTCTATAGAATCCACAGGCTCCATTCTCTTCGCTGTTTCCATTAACTCCCCTGTTACCTCTTTGATTGCCCATACTGGCTCCATGTCCTTCCTGGTTTCCAAAGGCTGCACTTGTTCCACTGGCAGTGTTTCCACAGTTACTTTTGGCTCCATCATTTCTACAGTCTCTGAAAGATTCACATTCATCACCACCAGCTTGCTTCAAGATTCCTCTTCTGTAATCTTCTGCCCTGATAACAAGGACACATTGATAAAAGATGACCATTCAAGAAAAATGCAAATTAAAGCCAGAAAACGAAAGAGAAGTAAAACTTTTGTATATACACACACATTATGCTCAGGAATGTTTTTGCTTTTTGTGAATGCTTTTGCTTTTATATATACATGAAAAATTCTCCAGTACTTTGCCAATACTAAAGACTGAACTAAAGCTGTAAAGTCTTTGTCATCATTGTGGCAACAAAGGGAAAAGAACTGCATTTTGTTGTTAGGTACATATGATAGCTTAGCTACAGAATATAATATTTTCTTAAATAATTGGATAATTTATTAATAAATTTCAGTTACGTTAATTATTAAACTCACAGTGATATTAGAATATTTTTTCAGTGGTCAAGATATGTTAACTTTAACACATGCTTTCATTTATTTACATGTATACCAACAGTCCTGCTATAGACCTTAGGGCAACTACTTTCACCAGAAAGTTCAATTAATATAGACTTTATATGTTGGAAGATAAGTAAGATAATCACATAATCCGGGTTTATAAATGCTAATTTTTAATATGTCAGTACCTTGTTTTAAATGGACTATGATATTAAACATATGTCCTTATGGTGATTATTCAAAGAATAACTGTGTGAAAATAGAATTCTTTGTAGATTTTTTATTTGTGGAAGAAAATCCAAAAGATCTTTTGCTAACTTTTCCACCAATTAAATGAATAAAGATCATCTTAAGTTGATCATATACATGGTAAAATGTCAACTCTCTGGGAAATGCTTAGTCATGCTGACAAATAGTAGTAGAATACTTCATATTTTACCCCATTTCTCATTGTGATTTTATAGTGAAGAGAGATTTAGTGGCATTATTTTAAGAGAACGCCCAGACAATTTCAGTTATCAAGAAATTAATAAATAACTGTAACTAAATTTGATATAAATTCAGAATTAAGTGTTCTGCATTAGACAATTTAAAATTACAATACTGAACATTTACCAATATGTAAGTACAATTCATTAATTCTCTTAATGTTATGTTATATTTTGAAATAAAGCAAATATAACACTAGTTAAGAATTCATAAGCATCTATAGAATAATAATAGAGAGAAACCAACCTTGGATCATTGTTAACAGCACCAGCATTATCATCTATGTTATGAACAGAGCCATCATTGAAGTCACCATCAACATGGTCTTCATGGGCATTTGCCTCATCAACCTGGTCATTCAAGCCATCCTCATCATTGTCGTGGTCACTATTCTCTTCATAAGCATCATTAGAATCTTCTTCCTCACCATCTGTATTAGCATCAGCATCATACAGTTCAACATAATCACCATCTTCTTCAGGTGGCTGAATGACAGGTTCAGGAATTAACCATTCATCCCAGAAGATTTCTGAGAGTGCATTATAGCCTACCCAGTCATTTGTCAAGTATACAGGGGGTGATATCTTTCCCACTTTAAATCCGTCTGGAACCTGTGTGCACAAGAAAGGTTAAGGTAGTCTCTAATAAATTCTCATTCTTTCTCTCTCTCTTTTTTAAGGTATTGGCAGTTTCCAAAATGATATTTTAAAAACATGTTAAAATGATAATCTTTATTGAAACAAAGATGTCCACTCAATACATAGAACAAATATTTTAGTGAATATGAGTTGCACAAACCCAAACATTAGTGGTTATTAGGGGACTTTGTAGATCACACAGCACAAATTACTCATTGTTTTATTAACCTTACTTGCCTGTTGAGGAGTAGACATTTGCTTTTGATGCTGAGAATTGTGTTTCTAGACAGTCAGTTCTTTCCTTTTGTTTTATCCTAACACTGAGATTAAGGTATAGCTCATGAAATAGATATGTTATTTTCCCAGTTTTGTCTGCACAGACCATATACTATCTTAAATTATTTCAAATGCCTCCAAAAAGCAAATGAATGCAAATGCAATTCTAATGGTAGGCATAGACATGTGTATGATAGTGTGGGGCTATTATTAAAATTACATAATATGATCTGAAAGCACACTGCAAAATTTAGGGAGGGCTTTTACTTATACAATCAAAAGACATTACTTTTTACTGATATTTTATTTGTCTCATTATCTAAGAAATACTATTAGGCAAAAATTGAAAGTGTAACTTGCGCTTCTTGGTCATAGCTTAGTTTCTAAAAGTATCTTTCCTACATATTCTATTTCTATTTTCAACGATACTAGGATTGAACATAGAGACTTGAGTATTCTGCACAAGTACTTTTAGCACCTCTCATCAACAGATTCTAACAAAAATGTTAAAATATAATATTTTTTGGTCAGAAGTGCCTTTTCCCTATTTCAATTTTAACTTCAAAATTTTGTATACTGAATACTTGTCCAACAATATGATCTTTTTAATAAACATTAATGTGACACATTTAAACTCTTTTACCTCCCTATGTGTATGAGTGCTTGCCTGAATGCAATATATGTGCATCTTGTGCATGGCTGGCATATACAAAGGTCTTCTGGAATTGGAGTTACAGATGACTATGAAGCATCATATGAATTCTGGAAAACAAACTCTTGTCTTCCGAAAAAGAAACACGTGCAGAGCCATCTGTCTACCCCTTAACTTTAGTGTTTTAAGGTCAGAAAGAATAGGTGAAACCATCTTGGTATTAAAAACAGATACAAGTGCATCATGATATAAACCTACGTGGATATCAATCAGTAAGTTCTGATCAATAGTAGAATAAGGCGGTGATGACTGAGACTTCCTCCTAGTCACAGGACTCTCCTCTTCAGAAGATGATTCTAGGGAATGCCAAAAATACATTAGTGAAAAGAGATTTCACAATTGCTTCTATTTCTGTAGTAAATCAATTCAATATCTTACTGTTTTTCTTCCAATTTTTGTAATTCCCTTTCAGAAACATCACCTTACATTAAAACCTCATGTGACCACAATTCTGCATTCTGCTTTCAAGGATACTAGCAAGCTCATGTTTTGTTCATGCTATAGACCTACAAGGCAATTTTTTCTTAGATAGTTATTGTATACTTGAAAAAAATCTATCTATGTAAGAAGGTATACAGTAAGACTGGCATGCATATAGGTCCATTAGAAATCAAAGAATGATAAACAGGAAGGACTGAGAGTGCCAGTATTCATACAGTAGTAAAGAGGTCAAAGGTGTAATTTGAAGATGAAAAATTATTAAAAGTAGACTGCAATTGTAAACCTCCTCAGTTCTAACCAAGTTATTATTCCCAAATAGTTAAATTATAAAAATTAACTATGTTTCATAAAGCTGGAAATTTTATAATAATGATTTGGGAAACAACTTTCTGCAGTGATAGAATTATTCTGTGCCTGATCTATCCTATATGGCTAATGACAATTTTAGAGCACTGAATACCAACCACTGGACTAATAGGGAAGTTACTGTGCATTTAAAATGTGTTCAGTTCACCTGAAAAAATAGGCTGTTAAAATATTTATTGAATTTTTGTTTTTAGTTTTCATTTTAATAATCACATGTGGTATTGCTGTTTACTCTCGCATTGGACAGCATAATTCCATTTGGGTAATATTTCTATTTAAAATACAATTTCATTCAACTTGTCAGTATAGGTTTTGAAATCTATGATGTGGTAAATAATAAGTTGTATTAAAATTCAACGAGAATATTTAGTAGGCTGGGAAATCAGTGGAGTCTAGGTGAACATATTTATTTTTAGAAGGTTTCCCAAAAGAATACAGGATCCATGTTTATTTCTACGTATATTAAGGATAATATACTACTGGATTATTTTATCTGAAAACTAACTATACATAGCCAAAGTCTAGATACTACAAATAACCCCTTGCATTTGTAAGTGTTATTATCTTTTTAAAATGTTTTACTCCATATCATAGGATGTACATTCTTGCCTTCTAGTAAAGTTGTAACTTTGCTATTCATTATTTATTCAAGAAGTAATTCTTTCAAGTTTTTTAGAGTAGAAGTAGTCAAACTATAAAGGTTGAGAGTCAGTGATTACAGTGAGAAGATATCTTCTATGAAGAAATCAAACTTGCTGGGAATCTCAGATGGTCTGTGTCATACACATAACAGATTCTTAGACCTGAAAGGTTTGGCCGTTATATACAGAGATAGTACTGCCTCTTTTTCTTATCAATGTTGATGAATTATCTTATTTCAAAAAGGCAAGTGAGTGGACCATAAAATTTATGTGTTTGCCATGTTGTAGCAAATTTATACCTGACTAAAACAGAAGAAAAAAGTACCCCATATTTTGCCTTGTCTTTTCAGAACAATCCTATGTGAAAATACACTATGAAAATAATTCTTTCATTACATTACTTTACTAAGCTGGAGTAAGTTTTGAAAATTCAGGTGCTTGAATAGCTGGTCTGCTATTTCCCTTTTGATACAGAGATTAAGAAAAATCTGAATATTACATTTTTATAAATAATTTGACAGCTTGGTCACAAAATGTCTTCTAGTTAAACATATCTTGCATACTAAAAGGTAAAAAATGTCAAATTTTATGACCTAATGCACAATTTTTGAATTTTCTATGTTTTAAAATGTACAATAAATTCAAAGTCTTTTAAATAAACATCACAAATAAAATATTAGATGGAAAGCGATACCACTATTTGAGAAGCTACCTTAATATAACTTGATCAACCAAGTTTTCATATATTTTGAATAAAGCTATCAGTTGATAACATTTAAGAAACAGTATTGCTGTAAATGTCATATTTTCAAGAGATAAAAAAATGACAAGTGAAATTTATTATCACAATTATTTTACTTAATGTTGTAAAATTAGCCTAATAAATTTTGGCTAGTTGAAGAATAGTTTTGCAAGTTCTTTCATGTATTATCTCATGTTGTATAGGAACTTAATAACATGATGATTTCCCATTTCTCAGAGGTAAAATTAGTCACTCAAACACCAAATCAAATCACTTCTTGTCATAATAATACTTGGATTTCCTAATATTTCATTCATTCCTTCTTGAAATTGTTCTTTACTTCTAAAACATATACTGTTAAATACTAGGCATATGGTGAAACTTGAGTTTCAAATACCTGATTCTGCTTGTCCATTCTGAGGATTTAGAGAACTCCCCTGTCTAATTTCCATGGGCTGCTGAACTTCTTCCAAAACAGGCTGCTCACAGACACTAATATTAAAAAGATATAGAAGATTTAAAGAAGATATATTTATAATCATATTTATAATATATAATATATTTATAATATACAATAAATATATAATATATTTATAATAGAAAATAAATATAATATATTTATAATATAAAATAAATATAATATATTTATAATAATTTTGAGATGTTTTGTTGTCATCTCTTAAAACCATCTGTGAAAGAAAACCAAACCAAACCAAAAGAAAGACAGAAAAAAAGTATCTCCCACAAGTTTCATGTGAAGATATAGTCACAAGATTTAAAGAATAAGGTTGTACAGATATGTTGATCATATACAAATTCTCTAGTATCTGACCATACTGTGCAGTATCTTTAGTTTTAAATTTTATTTCATTTTGTTTTTTTTTTCTTGAAATGTTTTACAATACTAGATTAGTTTGTAATTAGTGAAGTTAAAAATAATTTACTATTGTCAAAAGTTGTTTAGAACACTGATTAAACACTGTGTGTGTGTGTGTGTGTGTGTGTGTGTGTGTGCGTGTGCACCTGGAAGTACAAGTATGTAATAAAGCATATGTGGAGGTCAGAGGGACAAGTTGTGGAAGTTGGTTCTCTGATTTGATTATGTGGTATGGGGAACTGAACTCAGATCACTATTGGGTTTAAAACTATGTGCTCTTTCCCACTGAGCACTCATTGGCATTTCTGACTCATTGGCATGGTCTAATATGTTTAACATAAGAAATAAATATTTAGTGAATGACTGCCCTAATGAACATAGGGCAGTCTCCATTGGGAGTTTGGTTCATTTTAAAAATTGTCTTTCAAATATAATGCATTACAGAGAACACCTGACTTATGACACAAAATCTTGGAAAATTACTGAAACCAAGATTATAATTACAATGAATGGTTTCTATGTTGCATATATTATCTTATTTATAAAATAATATTCATATATTTGATTTTGAACTCATAACACTTTCAGACTTTCTTGTGAATGCTGTTTTAATTTCCTTAGATGATGGGATGAGATGAGAACTGTTCCCAATCTGTGAGAATACATGGTTTGGGCTGAGCCTTCATGTTCCTATATAACTACCCCTAGACCTAGTCCTGGAAGCTTCTAACCTCTATACAAGCTAATCTTCTGCAAGCCCAAACCTTGAAGGCTTCAGCTTCCACCCCCTGTCTGCTAAGCTAGGCCTAGAATTTTTTCAACCTCTAAGACTTACTGCTGAATAAACTCACTCTTTCTAGTTCTTTCTGAATTTGGGCTGGCTAGTTCAACTCAGCTGTTATGGATCAAAATTCTTCTCCAAATTGACTGATTCAAACTGGCTTCTCTCTGGTTCTCACTGAAATGCTCACCTTGAAAAAATATCGCTGAACTACTGGAACTGAATTGCACAATTGAATGCAGGAACAGAACTAAACTGCAAAATTCAACTGAATTCAACTATATTCAACTGTACTGCACTAAATCAAATCTCCTCTTTCTCCCTGTACTTTTCTTTCTTTTTCTTTCTTTCTTTCTTTCTTTCTTTCTTTCTTTCTTTCTTTCTTTCTTTCTTTCTTCCTTCCTTCCTTCCTTCCTTCCTTCCTTCCTTCCTTCCTTCCTTCCTTCCTTCCTTCCTTCCTTCCTTGTTATTCATTTCGTAACCCTACTGTAGACACCTCCCTAGTCTCCTTCTATTCCCACCCACCCTCTTTCTTCTCCCCCTATGCCCCTTCCCTAGTTCCCTGATAGGGGAAGACCTCCTCCCCTTCTATCTAACCCTAGACTATCAGGTCTCACCAGGGCAGGCTGCATCATCTTCCTCTGTGGCCTGGCAAGGCTGCACCACACAGAGGGAGGTAACAAAAGAGCCAGCCACTGAGTTCATCTCAGAGAAGGCCCCTGATCCCCTTACTAGGGAACCTGCTTGGAAACTGAGCAGCCTATGGGCTTCCTCTGAGCAGGGCCTCTAGGTCCTCTCCATGCATGGTCCTTGGTTGAAGAATGGTCTCTGAGACCCTCCTAGGTCTAGGTTTTTATTTTTTTATTTTTTTATTTTTTGGCTGTGTTGGTCTCCTTGTGGAGTTCCTGTTCCATCCAGGTCTTTCTATCTTCCTTTTCTTCCAGAAGATTTCATGCACTCTTCCCAAGGTTTGCCTATGAGTCTCAATATCTCCTTCAATACCCTGGTGGGTAAAGTCTTTCAGAGGTCCTCTGTGGAAGACTACTGTCCTGTTCCTTGTCTTCTTCTACTTCTGATGTCTATCCTGTTTGCTCTTGTGAGTGATGTTTCAGCCTTTTCCTAGGGTCTTCCTTATTGTTCAGCTTCTTTAAGATTATAGATTTGGATGTAAGGGCGATCTGGCTGTGACATCTATCACCCCATTGATCAACAGGGTTGATTCGGTGATCTGGCTGGCTAGGAGGGTGTCCCCTTCCTCCCTCACCACTTCATGTGCATCTTGAAGCTGAGCACTGGGTCTAAGAGGATGACCTTCCCAGATTAGATGAGGACCGGTCTTCAGTCAAGGGTAAAGGAGTAGCTGCACTCCCCTGCTAGAACCTCCAAACAAGCTCAAGGATTATAGATTTTAGTATGATTATCCTTTATTATATGGTTAATATCCATGTATCAGTGAGTATATACATTGTGTGTCTTTCTGCTTCTGGGTTACCTCACTCAGGATGATCTTTACTTGTTCCTACCATTTGCCTGCAAAGTTCATGATTTCCTTGTTTTTAACAGATGAGTAATATCCTATTGGGTAGATGTACCACACTTTCTGTGTCCATTCCACCGTTGAGGAACATCTAGGTTGTTTCCAGATTCTGGCTATTATGAATAAAGCTGCTATGAACATAGTTGAGTAAATTTCCTTATTGAATGGCGGCGCACCCTTTTGGGTATATGCCCAGGAGTGATATAGTCCCAGCACTGCTCTTAAGTAGCCTCTCTTTCTTGTCCTCATGAGAGGTGGCTTATTCCATCTCTGAGTCATCCTATCATATCTTTCTGGGATTCATCTCTTTGTTCCCAATTAGATGTCATTGTTTGGGATTAAAGGTGTGTACTAAGGATTTACCTGTATTCCAGCCAGAGGTATTAAAAGGTGTGGGTCTACATTTCAACCCGAGAAATCAAATGTATGTGGTACATATGCATTCCAGCCAGATCACACAGATCTAGAAGGTCTTTGCATGTGATTCCTTGCCAGAGCAGGCAAATTGCTGGATTAAAATTCCTCTGCACTTTCCTATTCTGTGGCATTAGCTTCTGCACTATGAATAATTTTCCTTTTATTGTGTTATATATGTAAGAAAACTCTCCTGATAATTATTAAGTCCTATTGCTAAATGAACAGTATCAAATAAATTATTATGATTACTTCTATTACTCTATTGTCAAAATTGTTTGGAAATTATTGAATTGAATTTCATGGACTAGAATGTAACTTAATATGAACACTGTTACTGGAAGATCTTGTTCTTGGATCACTGCAGTTAGGTTTTTAAATGTAAGTCAGTTTTACCAAACGGTCATGATGTGAATGATAATTTAGTTTTGACTTCACACAGAAATTAATTTCAATGAAACAATCTTTTTTAAATCTTGAAGATACTAATAAATAATTTGAAAATAGAAATACATACCTTGGAGAAAATTTCACACGATGAGTACGATCCCGGTTGCAAAGGATGGGAGCAGATCTCTCTTGGACCTTAGAGATGCAACGCAAACAATAGTTTGATAAATGTTATGAATATAAACACTTTTGAGTTATTAATTTATTAGAAAATCAATTTCTTCACATATATTTTCCCAAACATCTAACTTATAAGCACACTTATTTTATAAACTGAACATTTTATACTTATAACCTTAGAAATACTTAAGGATAATTTCTAGTGGTTTCTTAGAACACTAGTATAGAAATAAACTCTGGAAATCTTGTAATTGAGAATTTTCATTTTATTATTGAGTAATCATAAGACCAGAGAAAGATAATGGCTTTTTTAAAAAAATGTACAGCTCAAAATAAAATCTAAAACCACTTTACTTTTCAACTAAAAATTAAAACTTTACGTTCTTGCTTGGCAGTGGCAGTGCATGCCTTTAATCCCAGCACTCAAGAGGTTAATCTCTAAGTTTGAAGCCAGCCTGGCCTACAGAGTGAGTTCTAGGACAGCCAGAGCTATATAAAGAAACCCTGTCTCAGGTATAGCCCATGGCAGTTCAGTGTCCAAGTGGGTTACCTAGTAATGGGAAGAGGGACTGCCTCTGACATAATCTGATTGGCCTGCTCGTTGATCACTTCCCCCTGAGGGGAGAGCAGCCTTACCAGGCCACAGTAGAGGACAATGCAGCCACTTTTGATGAGAACTGATAGACTAAGATCAGAAAGAAGGAGAGGAGGACCTCCCCTATCAGTGGACTTGGGGAGTGGCATGCATGCAGAAAGGGGAGGGAGGGTGGGATCAGCAGGGGAGGAGGGAGGGGCTCATGGGGGGATACAAAATGAATAAAGTGTAATTAATAAAAAATTAAAAAAAAGAAACCCTGTCTCAAAACAAAACAAAGCACAAATAAAAACAAACAAAACAAAACCGAAAAATTAAATTCATACCTTTCTAAACTCTAGATTTTCTAAGATTATCATTCACTCAAAAATTCAACAGTTTCTTTGAGAAAGTATGTTATAATCAATGTACCAAATACTTGTAGCTTCTAAGTAAATTATTTTGTGTTTTAATAACCATATACTCTAATATAGTAAAATACGAAAGACACAACATATATTTAATTTAGGCATACATCAAGGGAATAAAAATACTTTCTTTTATCAATGGCAGGCAGAGCCATAGATTGTTGCCAATTCTTATGTAATTTTAAAGGACTATGTTCACTCCCAGTAATTTTCAGTTATGACCCCCAACAGACTATTCTGCCATGTAATAAAAAAGCCACCAAGACTTTTTAGAGAGGAAATTACATTGTGCTATACTTAAAAAAAGTTAGCATATCATTAAAAAAAAAGTTCCTCTAATTCCTAGAAACTGTACTTAGCCTTCGTATATTGTTTGCTCTATGAAGTGGCTTATCTAAGTTGTCCCTGTACTTCAACAAATAGATTGGTAAGAAATGAAAAACCCTGTCAGTGTTTCATGTTTGGCTAAGGAGCAATTCCAAATATAACTAGGTGTTTTGCAGTATGCATGATGGGCATCTTTCTGAATAACTTTTTCTAATATCATTTCACATAGATGGATTATACTATTCTACTCTATGTCTCCTATGAAGTTGATATCAAGAAATTTCTATTTTATTTATTATATATTTTAAAATTTCCTATTAGGTCTCCCTATGTTAGATAGGCTGTTCTAAAATTTCTGAGCTCCAACCTCCTTAGCCATCATGGAGATGCAAATCTTAATAACTATGAGATTTCACCTTACACCCATCAGAATGACTAAGATAAAAAACTCAAGTGACAACACATGCTGGAGAAGTTGTGGAGAAAGAGGAACCCTCCTCCACTGCTGGTGGGAATGTAAACTTGTAAAACCACTTTGGAAATCAACCTGGCTCTTTCTCAGACAATTAGGAATACTGCTTCCTCAAGATCCAGCTATACCACTCCTAGGCATATATCCAAAATATGCTCAAGTACACAACAAGGACATTTGTTCAACCATGTTATAGCAGCTTTATTTCTAATAGCCAGAACCTGGAAAAAACCCAGATGTCCCTCAACAGAGATATGGATACAGAAACTGTGGCACATTTAAACAATGGAACACTACTCAGCAAGTAAAAACAAGGAAATCATGAAATTTGCAGGCAAGTGGTCAGATCTAGAAAAGATCATCCTGAGTGAGGTATCCCAGAAGCAAAAACACACCCACCCACAGTACATACTCACTTATAAGTGAGTAGTAGACATATAAGATAGGACAAACATACTAAAATCTGTTCACCTAAAGAAGCTAAACAAGAACGAAGACCCGGGGTAAGATGATCAATCTTCATCTAGAAAGACAAATGTGATGGACATTGGAAGTAGGAAAAAACAAGAAACAGGACACAAGCCTACCATAGAGGGCTTCTGAAAGACTACGTAGTAGTGTATCTAGAGCAGATGCTGAGACTCATAACCAAATCTTGGGCAAAGTGCAGGGAATCAGATGAAAGAAGGGGGAGTTAGTATGACATGGAGGGAACAGAAGATCCAGAAGGACTAATTTTAACTGGGCACAGGGGTCTTTTCTGAGACTGATTCCCCAACTGAGGACCATGCATAGATATAACTTAGATCCCCTGCTCAGACATAGCCCATGGTAGCTCAGTATCCAAGTGTGTACCCTAGTAAGGGGAACAGGGATTGTCTCTGACATGAACTCAGTGGCTGGCTCTTTGACCTGTCCCCCTCCCCCCGGAGGGAGGAGCAGCCTTGTTAGGCCACAGAGGAAGATAATGCTGCCAGCCCTGATGAGACCTAATAAACTAGGGTCAGATGGAAAGGGAAGAGGACCTCCCCTATCAGTGCACTTAGAGAGGGGCAGGGAGGAGATGAGGGAGGGTGGGTGAGGATTGGGAGGGAATGACGGAGAGGGGGTTAAAGCTGGGATACAAAATGAATAAACTGTAATTAATAGAAAAATTAAAATTTGGAAAAATATGTGCAAAATTATGAAAATGTTGATTGTAATATACTAGTATAAAAATGAAGGCTAATTGTGAGTAATATATAACAGCATTTGAATTCAAATCAATTACAAGAAAATATATGTACAGGTTTTAACAGGTTTATCCTATATTACATGTCTACATGAATGAGTATTTACTGTGTGTGTCTTTCTGCTTCTGCGACAGCTCACTCAGGATGATCCTTTCCAGTTCCCACCATTTAACTGCAAATTTCATGATTTCCTTATTTTTCATTGCTGAGTAATATTCCATTGTGAAGATATACCATAATTTCTGTATCTATTCTTCAGTTGAGGGGCATCTGGGCTGTTTCCAGCTTCTGGCTATTACAAATAAAGCTGCGACAAACATGGTTGAGCAAATGTCCTTATTGTGTACTTGAGCCTCTTTTGGATATGTGCCTAGGAGTGGTATGGATGGATCTTGAGGAAGTGTCATTCCTAGTTGTCTGAGAAAGTGCCAGATTGATTTCCAGAGTTGTTCTACATCTAAAGAAACTAATCAAGAGGGAGGACCCTGACTAAAATGCTCAATCTTTTGGTTTTAATTTTCAGTAAGTTAGACAGTGAATGATATAATGAAAAATCTTTACAGAATTTTCAGTATTTAAGGTTATAAAGTGGTCTTGAGACCATTAATTTTAAGAAATTTACCTCATTTCCTGTAGGATTTTGAGCGTATTGCTCTATTTGGACTTCAGCCTGAATTGAGTGAAACACTTCATCATTATCTGATGAGTCATCTTCTCTGTTCTTTGAAAAAAAAAAAAATATATATATATATATATATATTAAGTCAGATTGGTGTGCAAGTGATAAGAATGACAGAATCATCTTAATTTGCAACCATAATGATTAATTTCCAAATATTAAAAATCATTTAAACCAGTAGTTTCTAACAGTTTTTGGTTAAGATTCCTTTTTACAATCTAAGGAAAGGTACTGATTGCCAACAGAAAGCTGCACATGTACACACATACACATTTGCATCTATTTTCATGTGAATTGTTAGTTTCCTGAAGTTTATCTATGGGATCCAGAAGGAGAATATGATTTAATGCTTGATTAACACATTCACAACCCAACTTTCATGTTTAGTAAGCTTTTATATCTCCCAAAATTTCTTCCTGAGCGGCTGAAGATTTGTGTTATCGTGTACAAATATTCCTCCTAAATTAAGCTCTCAGAGTTAAAGAAATTGTTCAATCAAATGATTCAACCACTATTATCTCTTCCACTTAAAAAGTGTAATGAAAGTGTATGCATATTTTTTCAAATTGATAAGCCAAAGCACTTAGACATGTCTCTAAATTCTAATTCAATTTCAAATATATCAAAAGAACTACGACTTTGCCTGTAATATATTTTATTTCTTTTATGAATTCATATGTATGTAAGAACTAGGCTCATTGGATGGTTAGTCATTGTTTATAGACTTATATCCATTTTGATATAGCTTCTCACATATGTATTCAAAACAATGACAGTAAGTATATTCTCTGCTGGCAATATTAAGCATATTTCCAGGATAAATATAAGTCTTTTCCATTAATGCAAATCCCATTAACTCTAATTGTCTACGAGAGCTCACTGAGAATAGCCATTAGCATGTTAGAGTCCTTAATTCCTGCCACATATCATCGATTCATATTCATAGCTCCCTTTCTATATATGATTTTTATCTCTTTATATTCTGGGAGTGATGCATCCATTTCCCCTTTTGGGTCATTCTTCTTTCAATTTTAAAAATAATTTCTTATGTAAATGTGCCAGGAAATTATCAATTGTTTAATTGATTTAATGTGCACAAACCTAAATTATTATTTATCTAGATAGTCAGGAAAGGTTCATTTGTAATTACTACATGAGTTGTTACTAAGTGCATGTGGTTAACCATTTAATCATCATATAATAATTCCTTTTATATAGATGGATACTGAAAATTATTAGAGTACAACTTTTCTCCTAATCCTTTCTGACCTCACTAATTTGCTTATCAAACCTATAAACAATTCATTATCATATTAATAGGGCTAGATAAAATTCAACAAGGCCTGTCAAATTTTAACCACCTATATGCAGGAGTTTTGAAGTTTTACTGTCTCTAAACGAGAAGTTAAGCTCCACTTGTTCCCTGGTCTCTGCAGTCACATCATCAAAGCCTTACATAGAACATGGGAGCATTAAGAAGACAAGTTATAAATATGACAACTGTATACAAAGTGTTTTGGAAATCAGTTTTGTTTTGATTTCAAAATAGATTTACTTATGTTATATTATTTATTTGTATGGATGTGTTTGCCAACATGGATGTCTGTTCACCATGTGTGGAGTGTCTGTGGAGACCAGAAGATCCTCTGAAACTGGAAGTATAGATAGTTTGTGAGATGTCACATGGTACTGGGAACTGAAACTTAACCTTCTGAGCCGCCTTTCTATTCCTGACTTTTTTTCTAAAGTTAACCTCAATTTAAACATCACAAAGTACAAATTAATGCAATTTACACAAATAGTGCAGTCCACCATTCCATGGCAAGAATAAGTAACTAATTCGGGTGAAGAAGCTGATGGAAAACAGAAGGTTATAGGCAGTTATGAGCTGCCATGTGGGGTACTGGGAATTGAACCTATGTCCACTGTAAGAGCAGTAAATGCTCTTATATGATGAGCCCCAGAAAGTCACATATTAAAGGAATAAAAATGGAGGAAATTTGGAATTTTAAATTAAGGCTATTTCAAGAGTCAAAATAGTTTTTTTAAGTGTTTGTAGTTACCCATTTCCTGGCTAAGGGAGTAATTGGTAAAAATAAAATAATGCAAAACAAAACCCTAATAATTAAGGTACAACTCCTACAGAGATACATTAAACCACTAGTTGTATTATTAAAGCAAATTTTCCTTTTGACCACAATTATCTAGAGATTTCAGAACGATTCATTTGAAGTGCTAATTAGTAAATCTTTGGTTAACCTGGAATATTTATTTCATTTGCTTTCACAGAGGAAATATGAAAGCAATAGCTAGCATTGGTAGTTTTCACTCCGGAAAAATATCAAAATCTCTTACATTTTGAACTTGTCTTAGTTCCTCTTCATGTTGATTAAAGATATCCTCCCATCTACGCTGGCGCCTTCTCCTGCAGGCTTCTAAATCTGAGAGTTCAAAGTCTTCACATCTCCAGAATGACTTTGCCCTGAACCTCTTGCGTGAGAGTCTTTTTGCCAGTGCATGCTTTAGACTAGAAACTCTTGACTTTTTCTTCCGTGTCTGTTCTGGTTGAGTATAAAATACATTTGAAGCCAAATTTTCCATCAAGATTTGCAGTGGACCAAGTGGTTTCGAGATACAAGCATTTGGTGCTTGAAGCAAGTCCCTTGAAAGTCCCTCTATCAGTGCTTGAATTGCACCAACTGCCTGTGAGGTTTCTAGAGCCCAGGCCTGTGCTTGAGGTGCCTCTTCATTGTGTTCTCCCAATGGAATTAGCAGCTGTGTATCTAAATGAAGTGGCAAGAGCACGTGATGGTTCTGGGACAGTAAAGGCAGGACCACCTGGGCATGTACTTGTACTAACTCAGGTTCCTTATCCTCAATCTCATCTTGTGGAGGCTCAGCAGCCTGTTCCTGCACCTCAGGCTGCTCAGGTGCCCTGTTTTGCTCCTGATGCTGCTCAGGAGCTGGATTCTGCCTCTGCTGTTGTTCTGCAGCCTGGCCCTGCCTTTGTTGTTCAGATGCCCTATCTTGCTGCTGAAATTCTTCTGGCACCTGGTCCAGATCTTTAGGCTGTTCTGTTCCTAAGGCCGCAGGCTGGGCCTGCTGTTCTTTGGGTATGGTGGCCTGTACCTCTGGTTCTTTTTCCTGAGTAGGTAGGGGCATGAACACCCTAGCTGCTCTCCTAAGTTGGAGAGGTGCTTCAATCTGTATGAGTAGAAGTGTAGACGCTTTAGCTTTAACCTGCATCTGTAGTGGCATGAATACCTGAACTACCTCATACAGGCACCCTGGTGCCAGAGCCTGTATCTGCAAAGGCTTGGGTGTATTGTCCTGAGCATGTAGAGGCATGGGCACTCTGACTGGCCCCTGCAGTTGCTGGACATATGGCTCTTCTTGATCAGGTAACCACCTTGGCTGAGGTGCTTCTCCATGCAGGAATATAAGTGGTCTGCATCTGCTGCTGGTTGGCATACTCAAAAGTTCATGAGCACAAGAAGTTCCTCTAAAATAAACACAGATGATTGCCATATAACAAGTGTTCAGTGGAACTATGTCATGCCTGAGAAATGCTTTAGTTCTTAAAAGATGGACCCACCCACAAAGATAACAAATTCGTGCAATCCCTGAAATATTTTGTAGGTAACATGTATAATGATAATGGATTAAAACCTTAATGTAGGTTAGTATTCTACTTGATAAGTCTATTGATATGTATAATGTCATTTTGAAATAGTAACAAATTTTGTCAATATTTTCACAATCTCTCATAGAAACAGAAGCATGCTGGTTTTTGTTTGTTGCATTTTATTTTTTCATTTTTGTTGCTGTTTTGTTTTAGTTTTACTTTTTGGTGCTACTTAAGTTGTCTTGAGTAGAAGGCAATAATATTAAATCTACTGTCTTTTTTAACATGCCATCATATAATTATGTATTCAGTTTTCCCAACATACCGGAATCTCCTTGTGGTGTACAATTCCTTAATAGCTGCTTCTCTTTCAAAGATCGGAAGTGTGTCTTTCATATGGAAAAAATAAAAGGAAATAAAACATAAACAACATTTGATTCACCTAAGTCACATTGCAACTTCTAATGCTCAGGATGTAGAATGAATTCATACAGGTAAGAAGGTAACAAGTAAGAGTGATTCAATCATACTTTGCTAGTGATGTTGACAACTGTCTAGGCATACTTTTGAAACACAATAGAAATACTTCAGGCAGGTTAATTTCTCTGGACAAAAAAAAAAAGAAAATATTAGCAATCTGATTGCTGCCCTTTAGAAAAGGCAGAGTGGAATAAAAGGAGGAAAAAGGACAAGAAAGAATTTGATGGTGTGGGTTTGACCTATAGAACCATGAACACTTGGGCTACCCAATATAGCCATTTATGTTCCTGAGCCTGCTTGAGGAGTTTAATTATGTTTGTGATCCCAAGCCTGAAGTGGCATAAATACCTTGGCTGCTCCCTAAAGTTCTTAAAGTGTTTTTCACTTAGGTAACCCACCTTGACAGAGGGGAGGGGTGTTCTACATTCATGGTTCTAAGGAATCTGCCTTTGCTTGTTTTATATTTAATATATTTAAAGCATTCAGCTTCTTTTCTCTCAGCTGTGCTGTTATTACCGAAGTGTGGAATCTTACAAATAGAATAGTTTTCTTCCAAGTCCCTGTGTTAAATTGCTTAGAACATCTATAATTGCATTTGTGGAGTAATCTCCAAATAAATGAGACTTTTCCTGTAGGTAAGATTTTTTTTGAAGTCTTACACCTCTAGATTTCAGCAAATTATTGCTGATGTTCCTTAAAGAATGGCCTCTATGATGCTGGTTCCAATAACTTCATTATCAGAAGCACATAAATGAACCCTGTAGCTCCCCATTTAGAAATAGGACACATACTTTTGTAGATGGGACAAGTAATATTGTAGTTACTCCTGCAGCTGAATTGATCTTAGCATGCTTTCTGTCATTTTCAGATTTCAATGTTCATCACTCCATTGCTACTATAGACCCTGTCTATTGTCCCTGAAATTAAATGCATAAAATTCTAGAAAATATATGAAATTGCAGCTTTGTATTTTCTCAAACATTGAGTAAAATCATCTTGTCACTCTGGGCATCAATAACTGTGAGCTTACTTTATAGACATAAATTAGCTTCTTTAGTTATATCTCAAAGTGTGGGATTAGGACATAAAATGAACTTCATATGTGTATGCATTTTTTTCAAAACTAAGTCATTAAATGTACAATCATGAACACATTAATCTCCACAGAGTTGGTTATATTTCTTTCTTTCTTTGCTTCTTTGCTTATTTCCTCCTTCTCTTATTCCTCCTCTCTTCTTTTGATGCAGGGTTTGTTTGGTTTTTTTTGTAGACTTTGGTGCCATGGATTCACTTTGTAGACCAGGTTGGCCTCAAACTCACATAGATCTGGCTTCCTCTGCCCCTCAGAGTGTTGGAATTATAGGCATGCACCACAATGCCCAGCTTGATTATATATATATATATATTTTTTAGTTATAAGTTCACTTAAAATAATATAGCCACTCAGGGCCTTCAGATTATGAGACTGACGCGCTGCCTACTGCACTAAGGACGCAAATCAGTAGCACTCCTGTATACAAAAGACAAAAGGGCTGAGAGAGAAATTAGAGAAACAACACCCTTCACAATAGCCACAAATGACATAAAGTACCTTGGTGTAACCCTAACCAAGCAAGTCAAATTCTTGTATGAAAAAAATTTCAAGTCTCTGAAGAAAGAATTAGAAGAAGACATCAGAAGATGGAAAGATCTCCCATGCTCATGACTTGGCAAGATTAACATAGGAATAATGGCCACTTTACCAAAAGCAATCTACAGATTCAATGCAATTCCCATCAAATTACCAACACAATTCTTTACAGACCTGGAAAGAAAAATTCTCAACTTCATATGGAATAACAAGCAACCCAGAATTGCTAAAACAATCCTCTACAATAAAAGATCTTCTGGAGGTATCTCCATCCCTGATCTCAAACTGTACTATAGAGCAACAGTTATAAAAACTGCATGGTACTGGCATAGAAACAGAATGGTGGATCAATGGAATCGAACAGAAGACCCAGAAATAAACCCACACACATATGGACACCTGATTTTTGACAAAGATGCCAAAACCATACAATGGAAAAAAGATAGCATCTTCAACAAATGGTGCTGGTCCAACTGGATGTCTACATGTAGAAAAATGAAAATAGATCCATACTTATCACCTTGCATAAAACTGAAGTACAAGTGGACCAAAGACCTCAACATAAAACCAGACACATTAAATCGGCTAGAAAAAAAAGTGGGGAATACCCTAGAACTCATTTGTACAGGAGAAAACTTCCTGAACAGAACACCACCAGCACAGGCTCTAAGAGCAACAACCAATAAATGGGACCTCATGAAACTGAAAAGCTTCTGTAAAGCAAAGGACACCCTCATCAAAACAAAGCGACTGCCTACAGATTGGGAAAGAATCTTCACCAACCCTTTATCTGACAGAGGACTCATATCCAGTACATATAAAGAACTAAACAAGCTGAAAAGCAGCAAACCAAGTAATCCACTTAAAAAATGGGAAACAGAGCTAAAGAGAGAATTCTCTGTAGAGGAACATCAAATGGCAGAGAAGCACTTAAAGAAATGTTCAACCTCATTAGCCATTAGGGAAATGCAAATCAAAACAACCCTGAGATTTCACCTTACACCCATCAGAATGGCCAAGATGAAAAACTCAAGTGACAACACATGCTGGAGAGGTTGTGGAGAAAGGGGAACCCTCCTCCACTGCTGGTGGGAATGTAAACTTGTACAACCACTCTGGAAATCAATCTGGCGCTTTCTCAGACAACTAGGAATAGTCCTTCCTCAAGATCCAGCCATACCACTCCTAGGCATATACCCAAAAGAGGCGCAAGTACACAAAAAGGACATTTGCTCAACCATGTTTGTAGCAGCTTTATTTGTAATAGCCAGAAGCTGGAAACAGCCCAGATGCCCCTCAACTGAAGAATGGATGCAGAAATTGTGGTACATCTATACAATGGGGTATTACTCAGCAATGAAAAATAAGGAAATCATGAAATTTGCAGGTAAATGGTGGAACCTGTAAAGCATCATCCTGAGTGAGTTGTCCCAGAAGCAAAAAGACATGCATGGTATATACTCACTCATATAAACATACAATATAGAATAAACCCACTAAAATCTGTACATCTAAACAAACTGAGCAAAAGAGAGGACCCTAACTAAAATATTCAATCCCCATCCTGAAAGTCAAAGAGGATGGACATCAGAAGAAGAAGAAAACAGGAAACAACCTAGGAACCTGCTACAGAGGACCTCTGAAAGCCAGAAGAAGAAAACAGGAAACAACCTTGGAACCTACCACAGAGGGCCTCTGAAAGCCTCTGCCGTGCAGACTGTCAAAGCAGATGCTGAGTCTGATGGCCAACTGATGGGAAGAGTGAATGGAATTTTATGTAAGAAGTTGGAAATAGTAAGAGCTGGAGAGGACAGGAACTCCACAAGGAGAGCAAGAGAACAAGAAAATTCGAACACAGGGAACTTCCCATAGACTCATACTCCAACCAAGGACTATCCGTGGAGATAACCTAGAACCCTGACAATGCAGCCACTTCTGATGAGAACTGATAGACTAAGATCAGAAAGAAGGAGAGGAGAACCTCCCCTATCAGTGGACTTGGGGAGTGGCATGCATGCAGAAAGGGAAGGGAGGGTGGGACTGGGCGGGGAGGAGGGAGTGGCTTATGGGGGGACACAAAATGAATAAAGTGTAATTAATAAAAGTTAAAAAAAATAATATAGCCACAATACAAAATTCCATCTGAAAATTCTATTTGAATCTGAGGCTTTAAGTCTTTCAAATATGAATACTTGGTAGGTATAATAAGAAAAACTGAATAACCTCTTAGATAAATGCTCACAAAAAAGGTAATCAAATGAATTAGTGACATACACTATTGAAAAAAAAATGTCAAAAGGCTCTGGGTTTTTTAATTTCAGATTTTTAAAAATAAGTGTGTGTGTATTTGTGTTTATGTGTGTGTGTGCAAGTGAATGTGGGTGCTTACAGAGACCAGATGTGTCAGATCTACTTGACATGGAGGTAATGGTAGTTATGAGCTGCCTGGACTGGGTGTTGAGAACTTAGATTTAGGACTCTTATTTGCTAAACCATCTATGTTTCCCTCACCCCAAATTTAATTCTTAAACAAATATTTTAAAACTAAAACCAAAAAATAAATTTAAGATTCTCTTTTCTCTTTGCAGTTACTACCTTTTTTCTGTCGCTTTTTAATGATCCCAGTGAGATGCTTTATTAATGACTCCACAACATGCTGTTCATTTTTTATATCAAGGACAAATGGGTGATGAAGCATGCTTCTAGATGTAGGACGGAATAAAAATTTTTTTATCATGCATTTTTCCATAAAATTGTGAAGCTTACAGGACCTGAAAGAAAAGAAGCATACAGATGAAAGACACCTTTGATCAGCTGTACTTCCTATCCTACAACTGTGCTATTTTCAAGGTCAAACATTCTGAAGGACTTGATAGAATTTTAACTTCTTTTTCAATTAGCAAATATCCTGTGTCTTAACAATGTACATGATAAATGCTGTTGAGTCAACAGACTGTTTTACTTAACACAAGAAATTTCAATGAATTTGGCAGCATTATATTATAAAGCTCATGTAGTATAATGGCAATTAAAATATCACTGTGATTCAGGTCTGGTGATGCATGCCTGCAATCCTAGGTCTTTGGGAGGCAGAGGCAGGTAAATCTCTGTGAGTATGAGGCTAGCCTGGTCCACAAAGTGAGTCCAGGACAGCTAGGGCTACACAGAGAAACCCTGTCTTGAAAAAAAAAACAATAAATTAATAAATAAGTAAATAAATTTTAAAAAATTAATGTGGTATGTTATTCCAAAGAAGGTGTTGATAACCAGGACAAAATAAGCTTGTAAAATAGCATATGCAAAGAGATTAAATGAAAAAACTTAAATCTATGTAGAGAGTTAAACTGAATTCAAGAAAATATGCCAATAATCAAATAATACTAAGCAATAGTATAGCTGGATTAACCTGCATCATACAACAAACTTTTCATGGTTGCGGTTCTGTAGAAATGGAGAGAGAGTTCTTAAAATCTGTGGATGTTTAAATTAATGCGTCAACGAACAGAGCTGCACATCACAATTATTGACTGCAGGTCTAGGGACCATGAAAATATCACATATGGGTGTCATTGTTAGCTTCATCTCATGGTTATAGAAGCAGCTGAAAAATGTCCGTTAGTGAAAAGAATGTAATATCGTCATCATATATTATGAAGGATACTGCTTCTTAACCACCTATATCTTGACAAAAACTGGCTACTTAGACATTGCAAGAATTATTTTCCAACAGAAATGTTAAAACAAGAATGGCCAAACTTTGTCATAAAATACTAATTAATATATAGAAGAAATTCATGTTTACCATCCACTGGATTTGATGGTGGGAGCAGATTCCTGTAGAATAACAAAAAGGGCTTCCAGGGGCTGAAGGTTAAAAAGAGCTGTTAAGGGAAACAGATGAATTTAGGAAGAACATAAAGTGTTACTGCAGAGCCCACTACTCATCCCACAGTTTCAGTGTTCATTCACATATTCTGTTAAACAGACAGTAAGAGATGAACAGATATAAACGAATGTATAATAACTAACAGTAAAACTTATTTTACTAAAAGTATTACATTAAGTCAGTGTCTCCATTACCAAGTCTAAAAATATCAATAAAAACTAGCTATTAGAAAATGGTCAAAATACTAAAACTACTTTATATAATATTCAGGGGAATGCAAAAAAATAGGAATTATTTGGTCCAGATGAAAGTAAGTGGTCCTGATGTACAGGAAGAGATTTTGTCCATAATCGGTTTTGTGTCAAGCAGAAGCTTCAAAGTGTCACCAAAAAGGCAGAGGCTAAGAAACACATCCCTTCAGCTTATAGCCTATGTTGTCCTGGTGTTTGAAAGCTGCTATTCATCTGTCAGCCTTGGTATAAAACCCCAAAATTACTTACGTCCCTACTTATAACTTAAAAACTAAGGAAGACCCTGATATCGATAAGGTTCAATTTTCTATTGTTAAAGTACCCTCTCCCTGATAAGTTTTTCTTCTTCCTTTTCTGTTCCTCTGGGAGAGCCTGATGATGTACAAAAGATCAAAGGATGATAATTTTCTTACCTAAATTTTGGAAGACACCATCTGATAATTGTGGTTTTGGAAAACTATCACCTTTTAGATGATAATTATAACCTAGATGATTGCTGCAGTTAAATTGAGTACTGCTTTTATGCAGAGTTAATACTCTGGGCAATAATGCATAGTGGTGAAAGAGGAATGTTTGATAGTGTGGCGATCTAGAGTTGCTTATTATTGAAGCAATTTTCATTACTTATCTAGGCAGGATGGCTTATATCCATTTGAGTTCAGAATATCCTGACCCACACTCATCTTTCGAAAGAAGCTTGTAATTTGCAGTCTCTAGGCAAAACTCTTATGCCCTTTTATTATATGTCTGCTCTTCAGCTACTTTTCCTTATGATTTAAAGTCTTAAAATAAAATTAATGCCAAACATCATAATCTGAATTGGAATAGATAGACAGAGAAGTAGATATCAAAGGATAAGATATAAAAAACAAAATAATAAGATATATGGCATATGTTTACATATGCTGATTTTTAACAAAAAGCATTTGTTCATCATTTAAAACACTACCAGTTATGATTTGGTACATTATATATCACATGGGTAGTCAAATAAAAGCTTACTGTTACAAGTGTTAGATTCTAGAGAGATAGATTTGTACAGTAAACTCCCACAAACTTTGAAATAGATCAAATATTTCAAACATTTCTACTTACAAGGAGCACCTTCAGCCATTTCAATAGCAGTAATTCCCACAGAATACACATCACTCTATAAAAGAGACAGCAAGAAACTTATTAAAATGTGAAATTAGTATTAAGAATTTTAAAACCATTTTGGCTGGGATGAGCTATCAATGCTAGAGACATTTCATTGGTTTTCTATAATGAAGCTTCATTATAGACTGAAATTACAGAAAGGCATTCTTTGAATTTGTGACCAAGCAGAACCTCACTCTACTATAGGTTCATAAAAAATTCTACTCAATGAAAGGAAAGTTCATCTTTTGTGCATTTATATTAATGCTGCACTTTAAATATAAAAAGTAACTTTTCACAAAGAAGTCTTAATATGAAGAACTTTAACATGTGATATAGAATAAATGATTTAATTCTGGTATCTCAATTTTATTTAATTTAGAAAACTTTTTAATAGCACCCACTTCACAAGATTGACATGCATGAATGTGTTCATATTCATATATTAGTATATGTAATATATAAATATATTTAATAACCATATAGATATACTTAACAATTTGAGTTAAACATTAATATACAAATTGTGCTACAAATAAAATATATTTGTTTATGTATTTCTTATGTTATTAGATACATATTTCAATAGCTCCTGGAATACAATCAATGGAGCCTAGAATAATTATGAAGCTCTTATAAATTATCTTCACCATTATTAACTGTACTTGGTTTTTCAAAGTATGGAATGGGGAAGGTGTGATGGTTCGTTGAGTAAGACATTTTCTGCCAAGCCTGCTAATATGAGTTTAATCCTCAGGTTCCATACCTTGAAAGGAGAGAACTGACCTCTACAAGTTGTCCTTTGAACTCTACACGTGCATGCAGATACATTAGCACAGATACCATACTTAAATAAAATATAGCTTTAGAAAAGGGTAAAGGCTATGATGCTAGAGACATACTGGCTGACCCTTAGAATAGTCTATTCTATTTTTGGAGCCTCAACTTATAGATACCTTAACTTTGCTTTATAAGATATTGCAAGATTAAGGTTCTTTTAATTATTTTGAGATGAAGTAATAAGAATAAAATGTTAAAATACTTTAGAGAGTGTAAAATTTATGCAGATACAAAGCCTTGTGCCTTGAAGTAAATGAATTAAAGAACTTTGTTCCCGTCGTCTTCATAGCTCCCAAAGAAGTTTTGAAAATGCAATAGGATCTCAGTAAATAATTACTTTACAGGACAAGTGAAGGGCATTGGAGGAAATTGCAAAGAGATGAAATGAAAACTGATCTATTTCAGGTTTTGAGTCCCAAGTTCTACAAACAGAGATCACAATGAATTGTTTGGAAGACTTATGATGTGACAAATAATAATTAAAAATATTTATTAAATATATATTTATTAAATATATACTTTTTTTAGCACATAGGGAGTTTTGTTCCTTTTTATATCAACTTTTTGGAAAGTATGTTTGTATACATATATGTTTATGTGTGCATTTCAAATATAAATTTAAATAGAAATGTTAATATACAACACAAATTGTTGTTAATTTGTTCATTCCATTGATTTTCTGTGGTTTTGGAGGTCAACCAAATGCTACATATTTTCTCCAGCACACCGAGTAATTAACTCATTATCTTCTCTTTGAACTGATAATGATTAATTATTGTTTATATTTATTCTTTGTGTGTGGAACTGGTGATTAAATTTAAGGCCTCATGAATACTAGGCCTTCTACCACTGATCTGTATTATCAGCCCTATTTGTCAGTCTTAATTGTGATACAAAGCTAACTTTAAATTCATTTTATAGCTCACATAGGCCTAATACTGTTGCCTTAGCTGTTCAAGCAATTGGGATTGTAATCTTGAGGCCATAGTCATGGGTTCATTTCATGAGTTTAGAAATCCCTCTGTTCTTGGAAGTTAAATTTCCAAATGAAGCCACCTAATATATTTTTATAAAGAAGTTGCCAACATCATGAACTAGATATTCTCTTCTGAATGTGAAAATGTGCCAGTGCTCTACTTTGTCTTTATTATTAGAAAATATTTTTTCTTGTTCAGACTATGAAAGCAACTGTAGGAATAGAGGCTATAATTTCTGATTAATTGTGTTTATTTAAAAGGATGATCTACTTTTTATTCTTCCATCATTAAAATTGTTGCAGTTTGGGCTGGAGAGATGGCTCAGTAGTTAAGAGCACTTTTTACTTAATCATGAGGATCAGAGTTCAGATCCTAGAACTCACGGTCACAGGGCTAACAAATAATTGCAACTCCAGGTACAGGGTATTCCTTGCTGTTTTCTGTCCTCTGTGTACACCTAAAGACAAATATGTGTATACACTCTCATAGACACATACATATGCATAAATAAAATAAATCTTAAAAATGAAGTAAGATAAATGTAGTCATTTTCTCCCAAATTTGAATCCTCACTGTCTGAACTATTATACTCACTCTGTAACCATAGGAGAGTCTTGGGTCCTCATCACAATTAATCATCTCAGGGGCCATCCAGTATGGTGTACCAATGAAGCTATTTCTCCTTCCATTTGTTCCACTTACTTGGGCACTCACTCCAAAATCCACTACATATGTCAAAATAATTAATCAGGAATAGAAATCTCAATAAGTTATAGCTTTAACTTAGAAAGAGAGTACAAAGGTCACAGTGGATAACAATTTTTCTTTCTTGCCCAGAAAACTTTACCATGAAGTCTTCTCCAGGAATATTGGGAAATTAGCTTTAGCTGCTATTTATATTGGAATGAGACCCAATAGTGCTGTTATAAAATTAATGTAGGTTTGAATAAATATTTACCATGAATATTAAAAATAAAGTTCCACTGGTTACTAAGATGTGGCATATGGCATAAGTAGAACTTGGATCTGCAACCAACCCGGAGTATGAACAGCACTATGAGCCACAACTTAGTAATGTCAATCTTGTTAACAGTAGTTAGGAAGCCTCATGTATGACATCAGAAACTCCAGTCCCACTGAGAGGGAAAAATGAGCCTCCCGGTAGAAGTTAAATTACTATACAGGCCTTTTGAATCAGTTATAAATATTATCTGGCCTATCTATATCTTAGCTTTACTCTATAAAAGTTTAGTTTCCCATTCATCTGTGGGATACATTGTAAGAAAATATTTGGTATGGTATCCTGAGAAACAGACAGAAAAAGGCTAAAGTAGACTTGAGTTATTTAATTCCAAAAACAATAAGGCAGGAATGAAATAAAAAGTAGATTTTCAAATTTATAATGATTTCTGGGAATCTGGGAGATGGCAGTCAAAATAACTGAAAAGCAGCTTGAATGATTTAGTTAAATCAAAGAAAAATGAAGCAAAATTAATAGTTTTAGGCAGTCTTTCAGAAAGCATCTAAGGAGAAGAAAAATTGACCAAGATGCACATCTGTTACATATGAGTAGGGGTCTAGGTCTGGACCATGTTTGTTCTTTGGTTAGTAGTTTAGTCTCTGTGAGGCCCCATGGGCCCAGGTTAGTTTACTCTGTAGGTATCCCTAACATAGGAATAGGGGTTATCATATACTGTTGCCTGCCACTGGATCACCTTTCCCTAGTTGGACTGCCTTGTTTGACCTCAGTAGGAGAAGATGCACTTAGTCCTCCTGTGACTAGCACTACCCCTCCTCTAAGAAGGAGAGGAGAGAATGGGAAGGAGGCAGAGCATGAGAGTGGGACCAGGAGAAGAGGACTAAGAGGGCTGGGACCAGGCATTAAAGTAATTAAATAAATAAAATTTAAAAAAAAGAAGGCAGAAGATTTTCCTTTCCTACAAGTTTGAAAATCACTGCAGTGATTGGTGTAGTTGATTTATTGATGTTTGAATGAGCTCACCTGCACAAACATCTGTACCTGGTAATTGTGGGGAAAATAAAATTACCTTTTGACAAATCTCTCACTCTCCTTCTTTCAATTAATATTTTAAGATCTCCTGTGACTATTTCTAGAATCCTATCTTATATAAGAACTACATATTTTATCTATATTTCTACATTTATCTACATATTGTTGCTCAAAATACCAGCCCAAAATCACCTTTAAATTCCTCTATCTGTGTTTTTCTTTTACTTCATTATCTTGTATCATCTACTTCTGCTTTCTTCATTTTAAAAACTAATGTGTCTCACAATTTATTCACAGTAGTCAAAAAGTGAGTACAATCCAGGTGTCTACAAACACAAGATGAATGAATGTTGGGAAACCTGGTTGCAGTCTTCCAAGACTGGAATGCCCTGAGCTCAATACAAAATGGAGGTTTCCCTTTGTCCATGAGGTTTCCTATTTTCTACCAGGAAATTCCAACCCCCCTCCCCACCTGAGGAATGTCACATAGTCTTTATGCAAATTACATGTCCAAATCTCCTTCTCCTGATAAGAACCTGTTTGGGAAGCAACTTGGATTCCTGAAATGCCTCTCTATGTAAATGAGGCATCTCTGTACCTTAGCCTTCTAGCCAATGACCTTTGCCCAGCCTGGATATCCCTACTCCCTCCCCAAAGTTCCATATAACCCTTGTTCACCAAGAGTAAACTTGATCTGCCTCCATAAAAGAAAAAAAAAAAAAAAAAAAACAAGAGGAAAAAATATTCCAAGTATTTTTGAACATCAACATCATTGGATGCTGTAAACTCTCATTATCTAGACTTAAAAAGTTTACCTGTACATGCACAATAGCTCAACATTCTCACTCTCTCAAATAGCCAACTTTAAGAGCCAAAAACCTATGAAGGCCTTAAGCTGTTATATCTCATACATGCGAGGAAAGCAAATCAGTAAAATCTAGAAATAAATACTGGTAAATGTAAGTTTTAAAAAGAAAAAAAAAAGCAAAATCAGAGTTGAAAACTCAACAATGAAGCTGGGTGTGATGGCACATGCTTTTAATCTCAGCACTTGGGAGGCAGAGGCAGGCAGATCTTTTAGTTTCAGGCTAATGGTCAATAGATTGAGATCCAGGATAGCTGGGTCTACACAGACTGTTTCAAAACAACAGCAGCAACAACAAAAAACTCAAAACAAAACTGAACAGTGAAGTACTTTGTATTTTCTTTAATCTAAGAAACAGATTATAGATGCTATCATTTTACTAGTGTCTTTTCTGATGTTAGTTCCTTTCGGCTACCATTCTGCTTGCCTTCTAAAATATTCTATTAGTATATTGCTTAAAATGTTGTCTGATAAATCTAAATCAAAATGTGTAAGGATTATGTATCAAATAAGCCTGATTCGATGATAAACTATAACATTACAAGGTTTTACCTCATGAAAAAAGTATGTTAACATTATTGAGTTCACTTTGAAACAGATAGCTAAGTCACTTGGTACTTGCAATTTTTGTTTCATGTTATGAATGTTTGGCATTACCAATAACTTGACTCAAGCTTATGAATATAGGGTACATAGAGCTTGAGAGTGGGGTATCACTCTTATACAGTTGAGTGTGATATCTCTAAGTTTTTTATGCATTTCTATGCAGTCTCTCAAAATTATATTGCTAGTTTTGTAGCTTATGCAGTCAAGACGTCATGCATTTTCTACAAACTACTGTCATTTCAAGAAGACACAATTACTACCTCATTTGTTCCACAAATATTCAATAAAAATATTCTTAACTAATGACCAAAATCTCTTCTGGTCCTGCTTATTAAGCAAGGAAAGAAAAAATTCAGAATTCGGTTTGTATATTATTGAAGCATCACTTCTGATCAATATAATTTAAAGAAATAAATGCAAATAAGCAATTTATACTTGAAGTAATTTAGATCTATTTCATATTCTTCAAAATATGGCTCTGTGATGGGCAAGAATATTTTTTAGAACTCTTTAATAACTGCCACTATTGAATTACTGAGAAATGTATGACAGCTATCACTAACAGTATAAAGCAATAAATGACCAAAATGCAAAACTTCCATTATAATTAAAGTGGTTTATCTTCAGTTTCAAAGAATTGATTACTCATGTCCTTTTTATTTTCATTTCATCTACCTTCCAAACAAATTTTCAAAAAAAAAAAATCCCAAATAAATATGTTGGGTGATAAAATAAAGTGTATACCAAAGACAAAAGGACTGAGAAAGAAATTAGGGAAACTATATCATTCGCAATAACAACTAATAAATAAAGTACCGTGGTGTGACTCTAATCAAGTAAGTGAAGGACCTGTTGCTGAAGAAATAAATTGAAGAGGATATCAGAAAATGGAAAGATCTCCCCTGCTCATGGATTAGTAGGATTAACATAATGACAATCGCTGTCCTACCAAAAAGCAATCTACAAATTCAATGCAATTCCCATCAAAGTACCAACACAATTCTTTATAGACCTTGAAAGAACAATTCTCAATTTCATATGGAAAAACAAAAATCCAGAATAGCCAAAACAATCCTGTACAACTAGGGATTTTCTGGAGGTATCTCCATCCCTGATCTCAAGCTGTACAACAGAGCAATAGTAATAAAAATTGCATGATACTGGCATAGAAACAGAAAGGTGGATCAATGGAATTGAATAGAAAACCCAGAAATAAACCCACACACCTACCTGATTTTTTATAAAGAGGCCAAAACCATACAAAGAAAAAGACAGCATCTTCATCAAATGGTGCTGGTATAACTGAATGTGTACATGTAGAAAATGCAAATAGATCCATATTTATCACTGTGTACAAAACAAACTCCAAGTGGATCAAAGACCTCAACATAAAACCTCTTAGAAGAAGACACACTAAACCTGTTAGAAGAAGTGGGGAAGAGCCTTGAGCTCATTGGCACAAGAGACAATGTCCTGAATAGAACACCAACAGCACAGGCTCTAAGATCAATAATCAATAAATGGGACCTCATGAAATTGAAAAGCTTTTGTAAAGCAAAGGACACTGTAATCAGAAAAAAAATGACAACCTACATATTGGGAAAGGATCTTCACCAACCCTATGTCTGACAGAGCGCTAATATTCAGAATATATAAAGAACTAAAGAAGTTAAAAAGCAACAAATCAAGTAATCCAATTAAAAATGGGTACAGAGCTAAGCAGAGAATTCTCAATAGAGGAATATTGAATGGCAGAGAAACAGTGAAAGAAATGCACAACATCCTTAACTATCAAGGACACGCAAGTCAAAAGGACCCTGAGGTTTCACCTTACACCCATCAAAATGGCTAAGATCAAAAACTCAAGTGACAGCACATGCTGGAGAGGATGTGGAGAAAGGGGAACCCTCCTCCATTACTGTTGCGAATGTAACCTTGTGAAACCACTTTGGAAATCAATCTGGCACTATTTCAGACAATAAGGAATAGTGCTACCTCAAGACGCAGTTATTCCACTCCTAGGCATATATCCAAAAGGTACTCAAGTATACAACAAGGACAGATGCTCAGCCATGTTCAGAGCAGCTTTATTTGTAATAGCCAGAAGCTGGAAACAACCCAGATATCCCTCAGCTGAGGAATGGATACACAATGGAATATTACTCAGTATTTAAAAACATGAAGAACATGAAATTTGCAGGGAAATGGTGGGAACTAGAAAGGATCATCCTGAGTGAGGTATCCCAGAAGCAGAAAGACACACATGGTATGTAATCACTTATAAGTATTTATTAGACATATAGGATAATCATACTAAAATCTGAATACCTAAAGAAGTTAAGCAAGAAGGAGGACCCTGACTAAAATGATCAATCCTCAATAAGAAAGTCAAACAGGACAAACATCAGAAGAGGAAGAAAAGAGGGAACAGGATAGGAGCCTGCCACAGAGGGCCTCTAAAAGACTCTACCCAGCAGGGTATGAAAGCAGATGCTGAGACTCATAGCCAAACTTCAGGCCTCAGAGTGCAGGGAATCTTAGGAAAGAAAGGGGAGATTGAAAGACACGGGGGAGACAGGAGCTGCACAAGAAGAGCAACAGAACCAAGAAATCTGTGTCCAGGGGTGTTTTCTGAGACTGAGACATGGTACTACAAACAAGTACCATGCATGGAGATAACCTAGAACCCCTGCACAGATGTAGCCCATGGTAGCTCAGTGTCCAAGTGGGTTCCCTACTAAGGGAACAGGGACTGTCTCTGACAAGAACTCCAGTGGCTGGCTCTTTAATCACTTCCCCCTGATGGGTGAGCAACCTTGGCAGGCCATAAAAGAATACAATGCAGTCAGCCTTGATGAGACCTTAGAGGGTAGGGTCAGGTGGAAGGGGAGGAGGACCTCCCCTATCAGTGGACTTAGAGAAGGGCATGGGAGAAGATGAGGGAGGGAGGGTGGGTTGGGTGGGGATGAGGAAGGAGGCTTTATCTGGGGTATAAAGTGAAAAAATTGTAATTAATATAAAAAGAACACTATCCATAAGAATAATTGTGCAATAAAAAAGTAGTAATAGCTTTCTGACTTTTCTAACATGGTACATGAATGAACTTACCTAGCTTTACTTCAGCGTTATGAGTCAGCAGCACATTTTGACCTTTGATGTCCGGGTAAATCACTTGGTGAGCATGAAGGTGAGCTAAGCCCTGTACAGTCGTACAAATTTTGAAAGTCAAGTAAGTATATAGATATGTAGCTTTTCAGTTCTGGTAGTGATTTAAATACTTTTGGGATAAAAGCTTTTGTTAAGAATAATGGCCCACATTTTTTTTAAACAAAATTCTTTAGGTTGGAATGACTACAACTAGTTCCCAGAAATACTATTCTTGGCTATAAGGAAAGGAAAATATATCAGAATACTCATGAAAAAAAAAAACACCAAAAAGTAATATTTATATAGATTTGGAAACATTATCCTCCTTTATAGCCTCTATATTTCTGAATAGGCATGACAGTAAAGACCTGGATATCTTAAGTACTAACTATTTTGTTTTATTTCTTATTCAAATATTTGTTAAGTTTAAAGTGTTATCTGATGAGGTCTGTAAGCCTATAATCTGAAGGAATATAGAAATTTATTTTATTTTATTTTATTTTATTTTATTTTATTTTATTTTATTTTATTTTATTTTATTTTATTTTATTTCATCTACCTTTCCTCATTTACCTCTATGCCCTTTCCTTATCAGGGGAGGACCTCTTCTCCTTTTTTTAATTTTAATTTTAGTTTTATATTAATTACAGTTTATTCACTTTGTATCCTAGCTGAAATCCCTTCCTTCATTCCCTTCCAATGCCACCCTTGCTCCCTCATCTCCTCCCATGCACCCCTCCAAATCCACTGATAGCTGAGGGCCTCCTATCCTTCCACCTGACCCTAGCCTCTCAGGTTTCATCAAAACTGTCTGCATTGTCTTTCTCTGTGGCCTGACAAGGCTGCCTTCCCCATCAGAGGGAGGTGATCAAAGAGCCATCCACTGAGTTCATGTTAGAGACAGTCCCTGTTCCTCTTACTAGGGAACCCACTTGGAAGCTGAGCTGCCATGGGCTACATCTGTGCAGGTTATCTCCATGAATGGTTGGAGTATCAGTCTCAGAAAAGACCCCTGGGTCCAGAGTTTTAAAGTGTGTACAATTTGTGTTGGCTTTCTATTTTGGGTCCAGCCCATACACCACTGAAAACCCCATGTATTGGCTTAATCATAGTATGATATAAAGTATTTTGCTTCAGAGAGATCACGTGAGACAGTAGGTTGGGCATTAATAATATATTTATTGAGCTTTTACTCTGTGCCAGACATTGTGCTGAATGTTTAGATAGAGACTTTACTAAGTTGTCACAGAGTCCAGTTGGGGAATATGCTATCCTCCTATATTATAGGTAAGGACAATGAGACCTGAGGAAATAAAAATATTCACTAAAGGTCACACAAACATTATGTGATGCACTAAAATTCAAATGTGGTATATGATTTGTACTTGGAAAACATTTCCATTGCTATTATAAATATATTCAAACAAAATTAGAAGAATGGCTTTCCAACTCTTCAGTTTATTAATATCCTTTTTTTTTTGGTGACCTTAATGACTTAAGTATTGAACACCAATCTAAGTTGGCTGACCAAGAAGTTCATTGCTCTTCTGAATGAAATTTGAACATCTTCTCTAGGGTCTTCCCTGTTGTCTAGCTTCTTCAGGAATATAAATCTCAGTATGTGTATCCTATATTATATGTATAATAACAAATTATGGATGAGTATAAACCATGTGTGTCTTTCTGTTCCTGGGTTACCTCACTCAATATGATCTTTTCGAGTTCCCACCATTTTCCTGTGAATTTCATGATTTCCTTTTTTTAAATAGCTGACCATGCATTAATTAAGAAAACCTAAAACCCATGCTAGATGTCACCCATAGACTCATTCTTCAAATAGGTTCTCTAGTAAGGGGAGCAGGGGCTGTCTCTGGATGAACTCAATGGCAGGCTCTCAGATCACCTCCTCATGGGGTGGGAGTGGGGTTGCAGCCTTGCCAGGTCACAGAGGAAGACAATGTAGCCAGTCTTGATGAGACCTGATAGACTAGGGTCAGATAGAAGAAGAGGAGGTCCTCCCTATTAGTGGACTAGGGGAGGAGCAGAGTGGGAGAAGACGGAGGGTGGGTGGAACTAGGAAGAGACAAGGGAGGAGGCCATATCTGAGGTACAAAGTGAATAAATTATAATAAATAATAATTATCAAAAATTCAAAAAATATTTTTGATGAAAAAAAAGTTTATTGGTTTCACCCAATTGCATTTTAGAAGTAAAGATAATTTTGGAGCTATATTCAAAGAAGATATATACCTTTTTAAAAGGCTGAAGATGGTTTGCGCCCACACTATAGAACACTGACTTTTCCTGACTAGTGCTCATCTTAATCTATGACAACACTGCTACACTTAAAAATATAGTTAAGCCATGATGTCATTCCGTGGTCTGGTGAACACAGTAGAGAGAATCTCACAAAGAGCCATTCAATTTGATCTAGGCTTTTTGATCTAGGTTTCCTTATCCACAGGTTATATGTGGAATTCTTAGGGTATATAGTGTAAGGTTACATATTTAGAGCTAGGTTCTTTTAAGACCAAGAATAATGATTATTTGAATACTCACCTGAATGATTTCTCGACAGATATAAGCAATCCAATCTTCTTTTAAACTTTGATTTCTTGTCATCCTCACTATATCAGTGACTGAGCCTGCTGTACATAACTCCATCACCATCTGTAGAGGAGCCAGAAAAGCATAAAATATTTTAAAAATTTTTAGTAGTGGAATGAGAATTTGTGAAAGTAGGTAATCCAACAAACACAATTGAATTTTCATTAGCAGGTGGGATTTGAACAAATCCTTGACTCATAGTGTTCATAGGCTGTTATTTGTGGCATTTAGAAGGAAGGTCATTCAAGTTTATGTAAAAAATACAGGGACAAATGTCCTTTAAAATAAGTTTGTGAGGAGGAGAATGGAGTGGAAAAGAAAATTTGAGAGACCAGTTTGCCTGAATATGGAAAGTATTAAAAGAATTTACATCTCATTGATCTTAGATTTATTTTCATTTTTAATGAGGTAAAATGACTGAATAGAGTACTAATATAGTTGATTATGGGAATCAATATTTCTAATAAAAAGTTACTAGAAATATTTACAGAAGGTAAATTTTGTAATATTTTACAAAAACACAGTATATACATAAATATTAAATAAGTAACCATTAGAGCTATGAAACGATATTTAATAAAGTCTCACCTATCTATGATTTTCAGAGAAGAGAGAATTCTAGCTACTAAAACAGGGTTAATGTAAACATCTATAAATGTAGTTATGCAAAAAATATCATTTAACTAGTAGTATCAGTATCATCTATGGACTCACTAGAAGGTACAAACCTCACACACATTCCAGACCTATTCAATCTCAATGTCTGTGAAAGTGGACTAGCACTCAGTGTTATAGAAAGTTCTCTAGAAGATTTTGATTTATACAAAAGTTTGAATTTCATTGTGTTGTAAGCATTTCTACAGTATCAATTGCTTTAATTCCTAAAAGCAATAATGCAGAATGTAATATGACATTTTAAAGACACTAGAAGATCAGGAAACCTTTCTCTATCATTTTGAAAACCTATTATTCCATTTTGTGTCCCAGTACTCTGTTTTATAAGATACTGCTGACTAAAACTCATTATCTAAGATAGTGTAGCATGGGAAAAATTCTAGTAGCTATGGGTTAGTTAGACTGGGCTCCAGTTAGTTACTGAAATTTATATCTTATCGATCTGGAATTTATAATAGTCCAGCCAAGATGACAAATCAGTGAACCATTTAGTTGTATATTTTTCATAATTGTACTTATGTCAAAATACCTAAAACTTAATATGTTCATGTCAAGTGTTAATTCAAGCTTATCCTCATCTATTTATTATTTTCTAGTCTATCAAGCCACCTGGATATCAGCAAAAAGTAAAATAGCAACGCTTTCATTTACAATTGGATTTTAAATTACCAATCGTCATTTGTATCTGTCCTCATCCCACCAAAAAGCTCCTTGCCAGGCATTTAAGTTATTCTTTCTATTTCGTTTCATCTTACATTATGTCAAGGAGTCAGAATAAATTTTGCCATACTATCTTGAACAGTTGAGAATTAAGTTTTTTAGTAGGAAAGCAAATACCACATTTCAACTCCTTCACTGTTTGATTTTTATTTTTTTCCTGAGACAGGGTTTCTCTGTGTAGCCTTGGCAGTCCTAGACTTGCTTTGTAGACCACGATGGCCTCGAACTCACAGAAATCTGCCTGCCTCTGACTTGCAAGTGCTGGGACTACTACTGCAATGGCTTCACTGTGCTCAGCTTTATTTTTGTCTTAATTTAATTTAATTATTTTTACTACTCACTCCTCTGATCACTCCCATCTCCACCTCCAACCCAGTCCCATCTCTACCTCATTGCTAACGTTACCTACATCATTACTCATTCCTACACCCACCTCATACCATTTGACTTTTCTTATGGAATAAGAGCAGGGCAAAGAAAAACATACCCAACGTTGGCTCCTATGTCCAGGAGGACTGAGCTTGAAAAATGCACCATAGAAGGACACAATGTTTTTGTGGAAAGAGTACTTCCTCAGCAGATTGAGTTCAGTCCTGGGATCCTCTTCTTCATCCTATGGAGAAAAAGCAGACAACAAAGCTTTAAGCTACCCAAAGCAGTGACAATTAGTCTCTAACATATAATACATTTACAAAGAAAAATCTTACAGAATTAACAGTCAATGAAAAGTTTATATAAAATTACAATTTCAGAGCAAAACAAAAGAGTAAACTAAAGCTCTCTTAATCCAGAAGTTCTTAAGATGTGACACTAGAACAGCAGCACTGGACCTTGTGAAAGTATTCCATAAACACGGTGAATTTTTTTCTAATTTCATTGAAATACAATTCATGCTGTATACTTCAGTCAACTAAAATATAACATCCTCTTGTTTTTGTAACATACATTATATATTAATACCATTACAGTCAATCATAGAACGTGTTTTCTCTGAAATGAAACCCTTCAAGTTCATAACCTTCCCCCAATTCTACCACATTCATCTTAGTTTTGAGAAACCACTAATTTACAGTCTATTCAAAGTACATAATTGCATAATATGTAGTGTCTTTAGACTAGCTATTTCTGACGTTTAGGCATGAAATATACATTCATAAAAGTTCAGTGTTTCATTTATTTTGGTTTACAATCACTTAAATTATTTCTATGTTCTGGACAATGTAAATAATGTTTCTATGTGCATTCATGTCAAGTTTCTTAATGTACATGTTTTCATTTCATTCTGATGATTCTAGTATGTTCAATTATGATGAAATTCCAAACTTATTTTCTACAGCAGCTGTATCACTTTGTCTTAACAATATAACATATTTAGGAAGTTCTGATTGCTCCACATTCACCACTGTTTGATATAAGTGGTCTTTAAAGTAATATCATGTGGTTTTGATTTATATTACTCTGGTAAGAAATAGTTTCACATTATTATATGAATTTCTTATTGTCAAGTGTGTATGTGTGTGTGTTGAATCAAAAATTCTTTGCATGTTTATAAGATAGGTTGTCATTTCATTTTATAACTAAGGTTTTCTTTTAAATATTCTAGACACAAGTACTTTATTATATATTGGACTTATAAGTATCCTCACTTATTCTGCAAGTTTCTCTAATCTTATATATTTTCTTTGTAGCACACCCATTTTTACTTCTGATAAATTCCAGCATATTATCATTCTATTCTTTGTACCTTTGGTGTCATACCTAAGTATTCATCATCAAATCAAAATCACAAATATTTAGCTTTATGTTATTATCTAAGCATTTTATAGTTTTAGCTCTTATGTTTAGATATTTGATCTATTTTCATTCTGTTCTTTTTTTTCTTGCACATTTATAAAGCCAGTTGCAAAATGTTGTGATTAGCCTTTAATACATTTTAAAGGTTTGGCTTCATTCTATCTTTTAAAATAAGTTGATAATAAAATTTTGATTTCCTAATCATAAGTCATATATCATGTCTATGTAGTAAAACAAGTAATGATTCACCCTTACTGATCATTTCCTCAGACTCTTGTTTAAAGCCTGTAGTTCACATTCTGTCAGAGGCATGCATGCTAATAATGTAGCTAGAAAGCAATGTGATAAACACACAATACACACATGTAACAGATGATACATGTATGCAAGCACTATAGATATGCATATGTGGAATTTATTTTAATCTAAATCACTAAGTATTTTTCTTTCAAATTTTTTATCAATACACAAAACACATCTATCTATAGCAATGGATACTTGTATATCATTTGGTGTCAGTGTAAAATTATAAAGAATGAATATACGGGTCTGATGCTTAAGGGATGGTGTCAGATGCTGAAGCACTCTTTTTAAGAATTATCAATTTATTGATAACTGAATCCACCTAGTTAGATGAAATTGTTGAGGTGAAAAATGAAGCTTCAAAGAAAAACTTTATCCAAAGATAATTTGACCTTAGTCAGAAAAGAGCATCTAGTGTACCTCTCTTTTTACCAGTGATTCCCCATAGCAGCAAACCACTTACTCTCATTGAAGTTCCATTTACTTGAAAAATACATTAGAAGAAGGGATCTCTTTCCTATCTTCATAAGATCTATGTAGTGCAGCAAATACAATTCTTAGCCAAAAGAGTCAAGCTGATTTAGAGATGCTAACTGATTAGCTAGCAATGATGTTCGTTTACTAAAACATAATCACAGAATTCAAAATACCGTGACTTAAAAAACAAAACAAAACAAAACAAAATTTCCAAGAGTGGGTTTCCCACATAAATGTAAACTATCCCAGAACAAAGAATGAAGATCAGATATGTTTGGAAAGAATTAATGTGTTTGCCACTCTCAATTAACAGGAAGTTAAGCTTGTAAGAAACACACAAGTACATAATATCCATCAGGCTAAGTGGGTAATTTAAAACTGTCACACATCTCGCAGTAATATGATGCTGTGCTGTTTCCTGGCTCAGTGCCAGTTGATCCCAGACTGGCCTAAATACCCTGTTTTTTGTCAGAAGGCAGCTCAAGGATGACAGAATTCCCGTTGTAAATTCAGCAATGTTACAATTAAAAGCCACCCTATTATATGGAATGAATACAAAAAAGATTTGAAGGCTTTAAATTTTTATCAGTATAAACTTTTGAGAAAACCAGAATTGACCAAATAATTCTATTTTTTCTCTTTTTCTCTCTTCCACCCCCACCTTGTGTGTGTGTGTGTGTGTGTGTGTGTGTGTGTGTGTGTGATCTATCAAAGCCTGTTGTGGCTGATTCATCGAATATGTTTCTACTGTTATAATATATTATAAACTAAAAGAAGCCTCTTGTGTAAGAGATAAACCATGAAGATATTTGGAAATGGGTTATTCATATACCTAGAAGGATTCTAAATGTATTTGTGTTAATAGAAAGGGTTATTTTTAATGCATATGACACTATATTTATTAAAGCATAAATGCTGAAAATATCTGAATCTTATTTATTTTACTGCAGGAGAGAAAACTAGAAAGAAAAGTTGTATCAATGAATTATATTAACATGAACAATAATTTTGTTTTGGGGCTTATATAATATTTTGATAGAAAACTAAGATCTTTTGAAAAATATACTTCTGTGTGCCTGAAGTTATCATAAAACCAATGTTCATTGAGATAAGAGAGCTTTCAAAAATTCTGCAAGGAGAAAGTGTTTCATATGCCTTCCTTCCTGTGTTTAAGTATTATGGAGAAACAGCTGAAGTGTGTTAGGGTGGGTATACTATTGGCTTTCAAGTATTAGCTTTGCAATATAAAAAGCAGCCATAATTTGGATCAAATACAATGATGCCTATGATCATTTTAACTGGGCAATAGCGATTTGTTCTAAAGAAGGTATGCACCATATAAAATATACTTTCCTAAGGCTTATTTTAGAAAAAAATACTTCTTCGTACATTCACCTCTTCCTTTGTTGCTAGCTGACATGTATGTCTATACACTGTAGACATACCCATTTTTCCCTTGAAGCCAATAATTTACTATGCAAAAGACCATTTCTTTTGGGTCCTTTTCTTTGACAGATGTTAGTGTTCAACTCTTATGAGTGAATCTATGTGAACAGTAGAAGATACACATGTTATAATTTCCAGTATGAGACTTTAGAAGAAACCCATACAGAGATAACACAAAGGATGAACTGAAAGCTAAGATTAAAGGAAAAAATATGAGGATGTTAATGAAGACTTTTAGTACTCACATTGTATCTCCACCCAACAGATTTTTGGTATTTATTCACTCTCTCCTGCTTTCCTATTTCAGGCAAAGGAGTCTGGAAAAAAAAAAAAGAAACAAACAAACAAAAATATTATAGACCTACTAGTATACTCTTACAACCATTAATGCTGAAGTATTTTGTGCTATTTTATCACTAAACTATAGATGAATATAACATAATTTCTTGTTTTCCACTAATAGTATTAATCTAAAAATCAGTTTCTTAGGACATCAGTAAACTGGGCACCAAATTTATGTTAATGCATGTAACATAAATGGGAAATAAATGGCACATTAATGGGAAATTTTCTAATAGTGAAGTGTTATTGTTCTCTTACAAATGCAGATAGTAAATATTAAACATCTATATTTCTAACATGACTTGAATTTTTAAACAAAGATTTAATATGGTTGTAGAACTCCTAAGTTAAAACAAGAAAATAAATATTTTATAGTCTCTTACTAAAAAAAGGTGGATTATTTGGAATTTATGGTTTTATAAAACCATAAAACCCCAAATCCCTTGAATCTCGCATTGACAGTATTTAACATTTAATGGCAAAACAAAAGTACTTGACTTTTTCTTCAATAACCGCCAAGTAACAGTTCATTGTGGGGCAGAGCAGTTCCATAAAGCTACAGGGTCTTTCAAGCATTTTCACTTGGGAAATAAAAATTCTTAACTTCTGTTATGTTTGTGTTAATATTGTCTTAAGAAAGTGAAGTACTAAAGAGGGCAGAAATCAGTTCTTCAAAAATTCTTTGAAAACAGATTATGAACTGTGACACAATTTTATGAAAGTTAACATGAATGGGGCCAATTAAATTGTCTCTCTTGCTTATTTGTCAGAAAATATATGAAAATTGCACATCTCTGACAAGTTCCTCACTCCTACCTGTCTTTGGGAATCTAATGGCCTCAATACTCAGAAGAAATTATGGGAGAAAAAATATGAAAGAGCAGAGCAGTATTAACAGAATAAAAAAGGAAATGTCTTCTTTGCTGTCTCAAACAATAGATAATCAACTGGAAATAGAGAGGAAAATAGATAGTTATCCAATTAGTTTATAATATCTAATATTTGGAATTTGTGGTATGAGTGAAACGTTTTTAGTGAGGAAACATAACAAACCAGTAAGTGTAATATGTTAAGATCTGTGATTACATAACTATAATTATTTCAAACTAACTCACTAAAATATAACATAATGTTTCAAAACAATGCTATTGGAGTTGTTCTTCCAATGTATACTGAATTAGAGGAAGATATGAGAAGATGGAAAGATCTCTCATGCTCATGGCTTGGCAGGATTAACATAGTAAAAATGGCCATCGTACCAAAAGCAATCTACAGATTTAATGCAATTCCCATCAAATTGCCAACACAATTCTTTACAGACCTGGAAAGAAAAATTCTCAACTTCGTATGGAATAACAAGAAACCGAGAATTGCTAAAACAATCCTCTACGATAAAAGATCTTCTGGAGGTATCTCCATCCCTGATCTCAAGCTGTACTATAGAGCAACAGTTATAAAAACTGCATGGTACTGGCATAGAAACAGAATGGTGGATCAATGGAATCGAACAGAAAACCCAGAAATAAACCCACACACTACGGACACCTGATTTTTGACAAAGATGCCAAAACCATACAATGGAAAAAAAGATAGAATCTTCAACAAATGGTGCTGGTCTAACTGGATGTCTACATGTAGAAAAATGAAAATAGATCCATACTTATCACCCTGCACAAAACTGAAGTCCAAGTGGATCAAAGACCTCAACATAAAACGAGACACATTAAATCGGCTAGAAAAAAAAATGGGGAATACCCTAGAACTCATTGGTACAGGAGAAAACTTCCTGAACAGAACACCACCAGCACAGGCTCTAAGAGCAACAATCAATAAATGGGACCTCATGAAATTGAAAAGCTTCTGTAAAGCAAAGGACACCATCATCAAAACAACGTGACTGCCTACAGATTGGGAAAGAATCATCACCAACCCTTTATCTGACAGAGGACTCATATCCAATATATATAAAGAACTAAACAAGCTGAAAAGCAATAAACCAAGTAATCCACTTTAAAAAATGGGGAACAGAGCTAAAGAGAGAATTCTCTGTAGAGGAATATCGAATGGCAGAGAAGTACTTAAAGAAATGCTCAACCTCATTAGCCATTAGGGAAATGCAAATCAAAACAACCCTGAGATTTCACCTTACACCCATCAGAATGGCCAAGATGAAAAACTCAAGTGTCACCACATGCTGGAGAGGTTGTGGAGAAAGGGGAACCCTCCTCCACTGCTGGTGGGAATGTAAACTGGTATAACCACTCTGGAAATCAATTTGGCTCTTTCTCAGACAACTAGGAATAGCGCTTCCTCAAGATCCAGCCATACCACTCCTAGGCATATACCCAAAAGAGGCGCAAGTACACAAAAAGGACATTTGCTCAACCATGTTTGTAGCAGCTTTATTTGTAATAGCCAGAAGCTGGAAACAACCCAGATGCCCCTCAACTGAAGAATGGATGCAGAAACTGTGGTACATCTATACAATGGAGTATTACTCAGCAATGAAAAATAAGGAAATCATGAAATTTGCAGGTAAATGGTGGGACCTGGAAAGGATCATCCTGAGTGAGTTGTCCCAGAAGCAAAAAGACACGCATGGTATATACTCACTCATATAAACATACAACATAGAATAAACCCACTAAAATCTGTACATCTAAACGAACTAAGCAAAAGAGAGGACCCTAACTAAAATGTTCAATCCCCATCCTGAAAGGCAAAGAGGATGGACATCAGAAGGAAAAGAAAATAGGAAACAACCTCGGAACCTGCTACAGAGGGCCTCTGAAAGCCAGAAGAAAACAGGAAACAACCTTGAAACCTGCCACAGAGAGCCTCTGAAAGCTTCTGCAGTATAGACTGTCAAAGCAGATGCTGAGTCTGATGGCCAACTGATGGGCAGAGTGAATGGAATTCTATGTAAGAAGTGGGAAATAGTTAGAGCTGGAGGGGATGGGAACTCCACAAGGAGAGCAACAGAACAAGATAATTTGAACACAGGGAACTTCCCAGAGACTCATACTCCAACCAAGGACTATTCGTGGAGATGACCTGGAACCTCTGCACAGGTGTAGCCCATGGCAGTTCAGTGTCCAAGTGGGTTACATAGTAATGGGAAGAGGGACTGGCTCTGACATAATCTGATTGGCCTGCTCGTTGACCACTTCCCCCTGAAGGGGGGAGCAGCCTCATCAGGCCACAGTAGAGGACAATGCAGCCACTTTTGATGAGAACTGATAGACTAAGATCAGAAAGAAGAGGAGAACCTCCCCTATCAGTGGACTTGGGGAGTGGCATGCATGCAGAAATGGGAGGGAGGGTGGGATCAGGAGGGGAGAAGGGAGGGGCTTATGGGGGGATACAAAATGAATAAAGTGTAATTAATAAAAAATTTAAAAAGAAAAGAGCACAGAATAGGGAGAGGAAGCAGTATTGATTACCTTCCAGGCATTCATTACTTTATCAGTTGTGAAAGAGCCAGTCTTATCATGGAGTCCCTGAAAGAAAGAAAATTGATATATAAATGTCAAATGTTTGCTACTTACCCAGCTACCAAGAAACTACTAAAGTAAAATATATAATTAAATAAAGCTCAGGACAAAACATGTTGTAAAATGTGTATATATGTTTACAGCAAATGTAATTATGTTATCAACATTTAAGTAAATCCAAAGGACTTCAATGAAAATGAAACCAGTTTTTTTTTTCAGTTTCTTAGATGGTTGTGCTTATAGTAAGCTGTGGACATAGTTGATTATCTGAAAATAATGTTTATTCAATGTAATTAATAATCTTGATTTTCATTCTATCAAAAATTCCAGATGCAAAGTGCAAACTTTTAATTGAAGATAACAAACTAGAAGACATTTAAAAATATATTTATATATTTATTTATAAATTACAGTTTATTCACCTTGTATCCCACTGTTGCCCCCTCCCTCATGCCCTCCCAATCCCACCTTCCCTCCCTCTTCTCTTCCCATGCCCTTCCCCAAGTCCACTGATAGGGAAGGTTCTCCTCCCTTTCCCTCTGACACTAACTTATCAGGTCTCATCAGGACTGGCTGCATTGTCTTCCTCTGTGGCCTGGAAAAGCTGCAACCCCATCAGGGGGAGGTGATCAAAGAGCCAGCCACTGAGTTCTTGTCAGAGACAGTTCCTGTGCCCATTACTAAGGAACTCACTTGGAGGCTCAGCTGCCATGGGCTACATCTTTGCATGGGTTCTAGGATATTTCCACGCATGGTCCTTGTTTGGAGTATCAGTCTCGGAAAAGACCACTGGGCCCAGGTTTTTTGGTTCTGTTACTCTCCTTGTGGGGCTCCTGTCCCCTCCAGGTCTTCCTATCTCCCCTTTCTTTCATAAGATTCCTTGCACTCTGCCCAAAGTTTGGCTATGAGTCTCAGTATCTGCTTTAATACCCTGCTGGGTAGTCTTTCAGAGACTCTGTGTGTTAAGCTCCTGTCCTGTTTCCTGTTTTCTCCCTCTTCCAATGTCCATCCCATTTGCCTTTCTGGGTGAGGATTGATCATTTTAGTCAGGGTCCTCCTTCTTGCTTAGCTTCTTTAGATGTACAGACTTTAGTATGTTTATCCTATATTATATGTCTAATATCCACTTATAAGTGAGTATATGCCATGTGTATCTTTCTGCTTCTGGGATACCTCACTCAGGATGATCTTTTCTAATTCCCACCATTTACATTCAAATTTCATGATTTCCTTGTTTTTAATTGCTGAGTAGTACTCCATTGTGTAAATGTACCACAGTTTCTGTGTTCATTCCTTATTTGAGGGACATGTGGGTTCGTTCCTGATTCTATTACTAATAAAGCTTCCATGAACATGGTTGAGCAAATGTCCATGTTGTATACTTGAACATATTTTGGATATATACCTAGCAATGGTATAGCTGGATCTTGAGGAAGCACTATTCCTAATTGTCTGAGAAAGCACCAGATTGATTTCCAGAGTGGTTGTACAAGTTTACATTCCCACCCGCAATGGGAATGCTTTCTCCACATTCTCTCCAGCATGTATTGTCACTTGAGTTTTTGATCTTAGCCATTCTGATGGGTGTAAGGTACAATCTCAGGGTCGTTTTGATTTGCATTTTCCTGGTGACTAGGGATGGTAAGCATTTCTTTAACTGTTTCTTTTGCTATTCTATATTCCTCTATTGAAAATTCTCTGTTTAGCTTTGTACCACATTTTTTAATTCGATTATTTAATTTGTTGCTGTTTAACTTCTTGAGTTCTTTATATATTCCGAATATTAAGCCTCTGTCATATATGGGGTTGGTGAAGATCCTTTCCCAATCTGTAGGCTGTCATTTTTCTGATGACAGTGTCCTTTGCTTTACAGAAGCTTTTCAGTTTCATGACGTCCCATTTATTTATTATTGATCTTAGAGCCTGTGCTGTTGGTTCAGGACATTGTCTCCTGTGCCAGTGAGTTCAAGGCTTTTCCCCACTTTTTCTTCTAAGATGTTTAGTGCGTCTGGTTCTGTGTTGAGGTCTTTGATCCACTTGAATTTTAGTTTTGTACAGGGTTGTAAATATGGATCTATTTGCATTTTTCTACATGTTACACCAGCACCATTTCTTGAAGATGCTGTCTTTTTTTTCCCCATTGTATGGTTTTCGGGTCTTTGTCAAAACCAAGTGTCTGTAGGTGTTTGGGCTTATTCCTGGGTCTTCTATTCGATTCCATTGATCCACCATTCTGTTTTTTTTGTCAATGCCATGCAGTTTTTATCACTATTGCTCTGTAATACAGTTTGAGATCATTGATGGAGATACCTCCAGACCATCTGTTGCTTTACAAGATTGTTTTAGCAATTCTGAGTTTTTTTGTTTTTCCAAATGGATTTGAGAATTGTTCTTTCAAGGTCTGTAAAGAATTGTGTTGGTATTTTGGTGGGATTTGCACCAAATATGTAGATTGCTTTTGGTAAGATGGCCATTTTTACTATGTTAATCCTGCACATGTGTTCAAGTGCAGTCATGTGCGTGGAGCTGTGCCTTGAGGGAAAGGTTGCTGGAGCGTGTAGATGCCTGACGGTTGGTGCTTAAGCACGGGGAGTTGGGTGTAAGTTCTTGTGCTGTTTATGGTCACAATGTGCTTGTGCAGGTGCCCTGAATATCTCAGTGGCCTACAGGCCTGTTGTACTGTCCTCCTGGTATTCAGATCTGTCTGGGCTCTATGTATTGTTTGACTGGACTGCACTGCTAGACACACAGAACAGGGACTTCAGTGTTGAGAAAGCTTTCCCAAGTATCCCTATGTTGCCCACAGTGGGGATGTGGGTGGAAAGGATCAAATGTCTGGCTGCTCTGGGAGGCTGTTTCAGTCACTGAGCAGGAAGGCTTGTTCTTGAGGCAATCAATGTTGTCTCAGCCAATAAGGGAGACCTGTGCCTGGGTAAGGAGAATCGCAGAGTGTTGAATATTCTCTACTCTCAGTCCTTGGAGATGTCCACAGGTGACCAGGATCCAAAATGTCCCAGCTCATGGTTTATCCCTTCTTTTCCAGCAGGCTTCAATGTGGATGTTTGGCTTCAACTGCCCCTGCACTCACCAATTTCAGAGTTTAGGATCCTGTGCCCCACAGATACAGTGTGCCCTGGTGGCTGTCATCTTGGACCCCCCTCTGGAAGACTTTTTACTTACTCTTTTTGACCTACATGCATGTGCTATTGTGCAGAGATATCTTCTTGTTGAATATTCTCTTCATACATACAATTTCTTCCACAGTGATCCCTCATAAGTGTGATACATGACTAATTCAACAGACTCTAAATCTGTTAAATATGTTCTGAATGACAGGAACCACAAAACTAAGGAAAAAATAACTTCTGAAAGGTTTTTTTTCTTGGTGGAATCACAATGATTTCTAATACTGTAGTCTTAGCATAAATGCAATTCATAGATTTATAATAATTACAGTGAACATATACTTTTAACATTATTTTTAAATTAGGACTTATTTTGTGACAGCTAAACTTAAAAAAATATTTCATCCTATAATAATAGAAAAAATTCATCTCCAGTGTTCCTGTGATTAAGTTAAATAGAATGCCTTATATGATAGTTCTTTAGCAAAAAATTGTTCTTGGACTATAGTAGGTTGAACAGTAGTCTCACAAATTTTAAGTTAACCTTGTATTCAAGATTGTGACCTTATTTGTTCATACCTGTATTTCTCTGTAGGCACAGTTAACTATAGCTTTCCTTTCTTTGATTCCAGGAGGTTGTTCACTGATCAAACTGCTATTCTGTGCAATATAAAGCATTTGGCATACTAACAAAGACATCAGCCATACGGAACCTGAAAAGTTTGAATTCCCTCACTACCATACTTGTGAACGAACTTTAGTGAGGTAATTGAATGTCATTAAGTGTTAGTATTCATTGTCTAAATAATTGGTTTGTTTATATTCTCTTGATCAGTGATCAGTGATTGATTCTCATATGAAAATTGCACTGGGAAGATGCTCAATTCTCATTTAGGACAAACCTGATAGATTGTGGAAGCAGGAGAAGACATGGAACAAGACAGGAGCCTACTACAGACAGCCTCTGAAAGACTACTGATCGAGGTATGGAAGCAGAGGCTGAGACTCTTTGGGTAGAAGGCATGGAATTTTATGAAAGAAAGAGGAGACAGAAAGACCTGGAAGAAACCAGAGCTCCAAAAGGAGACCAACAGAGCAAAAACCAACCAATCAATCAAACAAACAAAAACCCTGAGCCCTGGGGGCCCTGCAGAGACTGATACCCCAACCAAAGACAATGCATGAATAGGACCTAACACCCCAGTTCAGATGTAGCCCACAGTCTCAGTATCCAAGTGGCATCCCCAGTAAGAGGAAGCAAGGGCTTTCTCTGGAATGAACTCAGTGACAGGCTCACTGATCACCTCTTTCTGAAGGGTGCAGCCTTGCCAGGCCACAGAGGAAGACAATGCAACCAGTACTGATGAGACCTGATAGGCTAGGACAAATAGAAAGAGAAAGAGTGGAATTGGGAGGTGATGAGGGAGGAGGCTACAGCTGGGATATAAAATGAATAAACTGTAATTAATTTAAGAAATTAATTAAAAAAAAGAAAGAGAGGAGGACCTCCCCAATCAGTGGACTAGGGGAGGGGCAGAGGGGAAAAGAGGGAGGGAGGGTGAAATTGGGTGGGGACAAGGGAGGGTGCCACAGCTAGGATACAAATTGAATAAATTGTAATAAATGATAATAATAAAAAAATTAAAAAGAAAGTTGCACACAGTTTATTTGTAGATCAATTATATCTTTTTTAAAATTTTTTATTAATTACACTTTATTCATTTTGTATCCCCCCCATAAGCCCCATCCCTCCTCCCTTCCCGATCCCACCCTCCCTCCCATTTCTGCATGCATGCCACTCCCCAAGTCCACTGATAGGGGAGGTTCTCCTATCCTTTCTGATCTTAGTCTATCAGTTCTCATCAAAATTGGCTGCATTGT